TGGCAGCCCGCTCCCTGGAAGCCTACTGACAAGCCAAAGGAGCCGTGGCAGCCCGCCCCTCCCAAGTCCGTTGCCATGGTCTCGAAGCGCAACGATTAGAAGCCCTAAAAGAATGTCTTTGTGTTCTTGTTGTGTCGGATTCCGCTGACCGGCGCGTCATTCTCCTAAAGCTTACCGTCTCCTTACATAGGGCCGGATCCGGGTCCTCGTCCTTTTTTGCTTTTGCCGATGAACATTACCTATTGCCTATGCGCTTTTTCTCGTTCGAATGAATACGTATGAGCCCCCCTCACCGAGGTGTGACGAGCAGGATTGACGACGATGCCATTTTCCCAAGAGTGGTGTTCAGCTGCCTTTGCTGACTTCAGCGCAACGCAACTTTACGCCTGCGCGGTATTGAAGCACTCATTCAGCCTCGGGGAGCCTCGTGACCTCAGGGGCGGAAATTCCATGGCGAAATCATGGGCGGGCATGATGGGCCGCACATGCTTGCCCTGCCTGTATTTGGAATCTCGACTGGCCAAGGTGCGGTTCATCGCGGCTGCTCAGTCAGATGTTCCTTGTGCAGCCAGCTGCCCGTCATCTGGGCAGCCAGCCTATCTGTAAGAACTGCTCAAGCGAGGATTCTCGGACGAGCTGGGTTCGCACACTCGACCAATTGTGATAATCCTCGCTGCAACCCAGAACCAATCCTGCGTAAGGGCGAGCACCGCACAAGGCAAGTGTGACCGATTTTTGTGCAAAGTTCAAGGGCAGTGGTGAAAGAGACCCACAATCAGTGTGCGTGAGAAGGATCTTCTTGCCTCGGGACAGATCTGTGGAGCGACTCATGACCCTACAGCTGTGCCACTATCTGACCTCTTTGTGTATGTTCCAGGGCACAGGACTCGCTAGCGCTACTTCTTGGCTCTCGGCTACACCTTTACGCTCCTCCAGGACGGCCATCTCCGCCCGGCTCGCTTCACTTCTTCGGGGACCGTGCGCGGGACCTGGACGGGGAAAATAGCATCCTTCTTCACTCCACACGGTCCAATACGGATGCACGCTTACACCTGAGTTCTGGGCTCGCTTCTACCTATACATCGCCCTCACCGTGCTACTGATACAGTCGCTGGCCATACCTTCTCGCCACTGTGTGGACCCAGTATGAGAGACAATGCTTGAGGTCTCACTTGCTTTGTTCCGTGGGAAAGGACGAGTTGCTCAGTACAGCTTGCACTGGGAACTTGCTGCCAAACCATTCCCATCGCCAAGCATCTTACCCTTTCCGCATGAAGGTCGACCATGGGAGTCCGATGAAGGCTTTTGCAGCACCATAACCCGTGCTCGGCGAGAGCAGGAAGCAGGCAGGCTACGATCGGCCGACTTTCCATGATTCGAGCGAGCATCACTTGAGTGAGGTCGTAGCGAGATACATAAGACCACACTGCGAAGCTAGTCCATCCCGACTATTCTTCTGCAAGCACTCACCTCCTCAGCTCCCCCTCCGAATACTCTCTCCTAGTCCACTACTCCAGAAGAAAGAATGAAGTCTATCCTTCTATTTCCTGCTTTGCTCGCTCTCTCGGTAGCCCTGACGTCGACGTCAGCTCGACCCGTGGACGAGGTCAGCCTCGACTCTAGATCACCGACTGAAGAAGCGGTCACCGAGCGAAACTATAAGAAGAAGGATGACTGGTACTATGACCCTGACTATTGTCCGAAGAGCTACCCCTACTCGTACAAAGATCCTAAGGGCTACAAACTCGACTATGGCCCGATCTGCGCCGCCAACAATGCTCCTGGCTACATGGGCTACTACTTTTTGGACAAGTACGACCCCAAAGCCTGCGCTAAGCACTGCGACGATGCATACCCCGATGCCAAAGGAGGTCCTTGCAAGTACTTCAATATCTGGGAGGGCGAGATTGACAAGGGCGAGAAGCCACCAACTTATACTTGCTCCTTGTACTACAAGAAGCTGGACGAGTCCAGTGCCACAAACCATGGTGACCAGGTCAACATGGTCAAAGTCACGAACAGCAGGGGCTACTACAAGAAGCATCACAAATGAGCGACAGACGGTGAGCAAGGCCATGAGAAGAGTCAAGACAAGCTGGCTCGCCTCGCCGCAGTGCAATGTGACACTCGCGTCCTTCATGGTAGCCTTTCGGCAAGCACGTTCCCCCGGTGCCTGACCCACACTCCGACGTCGCGAAGAATCTTGTCCTACCTTTACGTTGTTTCTGTTTCTGAGGAAAGTCGCTGCAGTTCAAGTGAATAAACGAATCGAACATCGCACCGAATCGATATGTGACTCTGCGTGCATGTGTGTCTTGCAGCCTCATGATCGCTGTTCGCTTGCGTGCCCTCGACACTGGCGCCCTCTCGAGAAGATCAGCGGCTTGTGCGGAGGCAGACTCACAAGACCATATGTCTATTGACTGCCTGCGCTTTTGTGTCTTCGAGTCAAAGACTCTTGATGCCTCGATCTACTGATCTACTGGAATACATTCGTTGGCCTGGATACCAGCCTGAAGCAACACCAGCGCGCCAGTGCGGGTGGGTGCGTGCGGGTGCGTGTGCGGGAAGGGAGTGAACGTGGGCGGGGCGGGGAATTGGCGTGGCGTGGCTGAGCTGCGTCTTTGCCCCCGCGACGTCCCCGAGTGGTAATTTGGACTTTTGCCAGGCCAGGCCGCGACGAGGGTCACCGCCGACGACCATCCTTCTAGCCCACACCCACATCATACCCAGAGGTGAGCAGTGGCAGCATATATCCTCACACAAGTAACCTCACTAGTCCCTGCACATCGCAGGGTACTAGTATCATCCACCGCCCACGGCACGCTATCCACAGACGCTCCCCTGGGCGCACCTCATCTACCACTTTTGCACCCTGGCTGATCCTCACCACTCGGACCCCTCTCGCACAAACAACTCTCCGCGTGGAGCAGATTGGCGCTGCCGTTTGACCCCTGTCCTACTCGAGCAGGAGGCAGCAGGGTTCCTCTGTCTACGACCTTCATCCTCAAGGCAGCATTGACGTGGGACGCAGTGTAGCTCATCAAGGAGCTGTACTCTAGTGATTCCGCCATCAGAGCGACCACCTCCTCACGCGCCTGACCCTCGCAGTACAGATCACTCTTGACTTCGGGAGTAAAATCATCATATCAAGAGCCCAGCTGTGCCAGACAATGCAATCCACCTCGATTTGGCCATCCTCAAAAACCTCCACTCATAGAAGCCATAGAGACCCAGCATACAAGTCTCCCTCCTTCGTCGATCAGGTTTCTCGCCCCCATCACATTGCATCTACGCCTTCCTCAGACAGCTCAAGCTCTCACGAGGGCTCTGTGATCTCAACGGCATCTTCCGCCTCTTCCTCATCTCACCTGCCCCATCGCTCTGCCACTTCTTCTCTGAACAGCAGTCCGCCGTCTCACGGCGAGCATTACAACACGATCATCCTGCCTACGGCCAGTGGATCCGGCTTGTCCCCCCGTACGCAAGACTTGCTACAGACGCAAAGGGACCTCTTTCAGCAGTACCCGTCATACCACAAGCCTCTTCCACCTGCCCCACACTTGCATCGAAGCTTCTCGGACTGGCAAAACAGCCTACAGACTTTGGCGAATCAAGGTGTTGCTTCATCGGAAGCCCATCCTTCCACACGCCAGTCCTACAGCAACGCCACACCTGCCACTCCTCCGATACCTCCTCCTTCGATGCAGACCACTACTGCTGCCAATGTCGCGTACGCTACCTCTGCGTTCGCGGCCCCGCCACCAGCTGCCCATCACCAGAAAAGAGAAGAGGATGAGGTGATGCGGAGTCCCGATAGAACGCGTGGCACAAAGTCGAGGAGGGCTAGCTCAGGCGGATCCAAGATCCCTGAAGGTCCTCGGCGGGAGCCAACCGAGCCGAGCAGCGCCCTCGAGGGGGAGATGAGACCTACGGACGCTGGCGGGCCCGCTGTACCACCCAACCTGGCTGTTCCGGCAGAGGAAGGAGCATTCAAAGCGCCGGAGGCATCTTCCTCCCGGTCGACCGCACCGGGCAGGTCGTCGGTAGCGTCCAGCAATGCAGCCTCGCCTTCGACAATGGCAAGTAGCAGAAGCTCTTTCCCTGCTTCCACCTCGGCGGATGCTCCCTCTACTACTGCGCGGCGCCAGTCACAGCCACACCTCGATCTGGCAAATCATCCCCCACAACAACTTCTGAAAGTCCTTGCAGCTCTTCTGCATCAAATCGCTTCGTCTAACGATCACCTCAGGCCAACAAATGGCCAAGAAGGCCGCGACAGAAGGAAGAGCACTTGGCGGACTGGACAAGGAGATGAAGGCGCGCAAGGCAGCACAACACATTCATCAGCGGCTAGCACGCCCGGTCCAGAAGACAAGAGACACTCTGTCACAACGGCGGCCATGGGCGCCTTGGGCACGCCGAGCAGCACACTCTGCTTCCACGCTCGGAACATCCCAAGCATCAGCATCGAGAGCTATCTTCTAAGAATTCTCAAGTACTGTCCCACCACTAACGACGTCTTCTTGAGCCTTTTGGTGTACTTTGATCGCATGAGCAGGATGGGAGTGGGTGCTGGCCCTGGCTCAAGCAGCAATTCTCCGGCGGGAGCGGCTGCAGGACTACCGCTGGCTGACGGGGTAGAGATGAGCAGGTCTGGCTCAAAAGACGGAGTGGACGATGAAGACAGACTTAGGGGCGAGGAAGACGCCCATCCGGGCATGCGGGGATTCGTCATTGACAGCTACAATGTGCATAGGCTCGTCATTGCGGGCATTACTGTGGCCAGCAAATTCTTCAGCGACATCTTCTACACGAACTCTAGATATGCAAAGGTGAGTTGATGGAAGGGTCGTGAACGTCTGGTCTGAACTGGCGCTGATCTCGATTTCTCTCTCTCTCTCTCTCCGAAATGCCATTCAACTAGGTCGGCGGTCTCCCAGTACACGAGTTGAACCAGCTCGAGCTGCAATTCCTCCTTTTGAATGACTTCCACTTAGTCATCCCTCTCGACGAGCTTCAGCGTTACGCTGACCAGCTGCTCGTGTACGGCGCAGAAGGCGGAGTTCTTGCGCCCAGTCGGGTAAAGGATGTGGACAGCAATACTGCCGCTACTACAGACGCAGGAGGTCGAAGGGGTAGCGAGAAGGGCGAGAGGCATACAAAAGACCGGGGAAGAGGATCGGCACTGGCAGAAGAGTCTGCCATGGAAGCAGAACCCCCTGCCCGAACTGCATCCGGAGGTTGATGGCTATTTGAGCCGTTTACTGAGGGCAGATGGGCAGTGAGCAGGAGCTGTGAGCAAGCAGGGAGCTCCTTTGTAGATGACATATGCCACGACGAATGTAGGAGCAGAGAGCAAGAGCCTAATGACTATACGCGTATCCAATCATCTATCCAATCTACATCAATCCAAATCACTCTTTCGAAGACATTGATAGACCAACACAGATGCTCAGTGATTGGCCACCCATTCGCGAATCAGACGGGCTCCCTCGACGAGGTCATTGGCGCGCAGGTCGGGTTCCAAGTAGATTCCCGACGCTGGGGAAAATTCCTCATAGGTCATCCAGAGCGTGTGGAATCTGTAAAGGCAGAACATGGTCAGTGGTCAATTTCCTGTACTGTCGTTCTGCAGAGTGCTTCTCCGTAGCACTCACCCTGCGCGCTTAGCTGCATCGACGTCCCAAGAGTGGCTCGCGACAAAGAAGAGGATGTATTCGTTTTCCGAAGCTCCTTCTAGTCCAGCTTCGGCCAAGACTCGCTTCTTGACAGCGCCATACACCCTTGGATCAGGCTTGGCCACCTCTGCCTCGTCGCAGGACCACAGACCGGCATTCACTGCTGCTCCGCCTGCATCGCCTGTGCTGTTGATGGTGGGTACGGATGCGTTTTCGAAGAGCTTCTCGGCGAGGGAGAGGGAGCCATTTGTTGCTCCCCAGAGACGGATACTTGCCAGTCCTCCATGTTCTGGGGAGGCTCGGTGAGCCTGACGAAAAGCTTCTGTCATGCCGGGACGTGGGGTGAGGGTCTGCAGAGAGGCCATGACTTCCTCGGTCACTGATGCAAAGGCCTCGACGGCTTTATCGCCTCCTCCCCCTTGCCTAGAAGAAGAGAGGTCGAGGCGTGTTTGCTTGAGCTCTTCAGCTGAGACTGGCTTACTGGAAGACTGGTCAGAGGAGGAAGGAGGTACGAGGCCTGCTTGGAGTAGGACTCGCGGCAGGCAAGACTTGAAGACGGTCCCGATGGGGGTGTATGCGCTGTTCAGAGACAGGAAAGAGAAGTCCCTCTGACCTGCGTGGTACCAGTCCTGTCAATCAGTGCGAGGTGCGTAGGCAGACGGTTCGTCAGATGCATCTTTTTCATCGCGGGTCTACTCGGAGCCTCAGCTCACCATGACAATCAACTCTGCATATCGATCTGCGACCACGGGGTCTGGTCCGAGCTGTGAAGCAAAGAGCTTCTTGATCTCCGCGATTGGGGCGGAGAGGTCGAAGAGTGTACCCAGGACATCGTGCACGATGATGAGAGTCTTGCCCTTGGGTTGTGAGGCGGAAGATGACATGGCAAGGGTGGTGATCCCAGCGAGTGAGCTACTGTTTAAGACCTCGTCACTACTCGTTGACGAGGGTGGAGCGGAAGCAGCCCAGACCGGCGAGGGTAGCCAAAGCCGGCCTTGTGGGGGTGGAGGGCCAGGCAGGGCTCGCTTCCCACGTGATGGCGGTGGCTCATGCACGGCGTTTTTCTGTGCGTAGCCCGCTCCCTGGGTCGGTGGGTCACCTTTACGCCCCTCTGCCTCTCCGCCTGGGGACATTGAGCTGCCGATTGCTCTGTGCGAATGGCCGGCTAACAAACAAAGCTGTCGAGGCAAGGGGCTAGGGTTCATGCAAAGTCGAGAGGCGAAGGTGAAGGAACATGTCTCAGCTCACACAATTCATCACCACTCGACGATCGTTGCCCTCGGGAGCAGCGTCGCTTACCTCTCCCCCTGCCTGGTGGCTTGCAATTCGCTCTTTACCTACCTGGGCCTCCCAGAAAGATGACACCGTCTGCTGGCTGCAGACCGGGTCCTGAGGCAGGAACGGATCCTCTCACCGTGGGTTGCATCATTCCCTCTTAATTTACTCTGTCATGTCACTGCGCGACCCCCAGAGTGAGGGTGACCACTCGTCCTGCGTTGCGGTTTCAGCGGTGCGCAGGCGCTGTGCAGAGAGGGGGCTACCCTTTGGCGGGGGGCCTGCAGAAGAGGGTCTTGGCGTCGAGCGCTGTGGTTTCCAAAAAAGGAGGGGGGGGGAGCCGTGGATAGAAGAGCGGGGGTTGGGTTCCCAGGGCTGGCCGAGGGCGGAAGAAGCCCTGAGCGGTGGGGCCTCTATTCTTTACCTCGGCAGTGGCTTCTGCGAGGCCAAAGTCAGCAACCACACAGCGGGGCGGAAGCAGGCCTGGAAGTCAGACTCAGCCATCTGCACCTCACCAGCACCTATACGCGCGTGTGTGCGTGCGTGCGTGTGTGTGTGTGTGTGCGTGTGAGCGAGGGAGTGAGGAAATGGATGTGGCGCCCCCCCTCTGCTGCCGTGCCTGCCCCTCCCCATTCCGCTCCCCTCGAACAAAAGACTCAGTCACAGCCGAGCCACGGACCGACGGACGCATGGACGGACCGACGGACACACACACACTCACTCACACACTTACTCACTCACTCAGACCGGCGTACGTGCATTGCTCTGGCCACCCATGTGTGAATCGATCAATGGCAGGGCAGACGTCCGTCTATTCTGATTCCCTCACGCACCGCACCCACTTCTAATCTTCCTACACTATACAACGCTACCATCAGACGGCCACTCTCTTCATCCGCAAACTCTCTCTTCTGCACGGCGATAGCTTGGACCCCCCTCCCCCTCTGCATCCCTGTTACGTACGTACAGCCCCCTTTCCCCTCTTATCAGACCGGCTACTCAAGGTCTCCTTGCGGATTCCTTGCTACGTGCACAGTCGAGTCTCACTTTCCCCGTCATCGCTGCTCAGTCTGCGGTCTTGAGAAGGCACTCAGCCGTCGCATAGGGCGAACGGGGAGCAGCAGAGTGCTTCATCTCGCACCTGCTGCTTAGCGGTAATCAGTAGAGCAAGACCCTCCTGTCTCTGCAGCTCCTGGATATTCTTGCAAGCATCTGCAACGATGGCGGAACCTTCAGAGCCTTTGGCAAGGAGCCCGAGAGGTTCCGCTCATGGGGATGGCATACCCTCTCCCAATCTTTCACTACCCTATCGGAAGCTACCAGGCAACGTTAGACGGCCCTCCTTCAGGAGTACACTTTCCACGCATCCACCGGAGAGTCCTGCCTCCTCCTACCTTTTCTTGGACCCTTCGTCATCTCGTGCGCCTTCAGTGAGGTCAGAGCTGACAACATCAAGCGTAGAGCACAACAGCTCCCGTAGGGGAACTGGTTCGACAATACCTGGTAGCCCGGGTTACTTCTCTGCCACTTCTTCCCTCAATGACCACAGCGAATACGCCAACAGAACACTCTCTCCTGCCTCTCAATACACCTCTCTCTTCCCTCCACCTTCCGCAAGCCCCGGGAACAGAGCACCAGGAACTGTTGATCTCCGGTCCAGGTCACCTCCGAGCCCTACAGATCGACGTCTTAGATCACCAAAGTCTTTCGGAAGCCCACACTGGTTACCATCGCTGCCTGCAGATGATAATGAAGCGCTTCCCCTGCCATCCACTTCATCGCATCCGGACCCGGTGCCAGTCGCGTTGCCAAGCGGCCGCCAAAGTCGAGCTCAGCGTATGATGAGGAAAATCTCTCAACCTAAGCTCAGGGATACGGAGGACAGTAACAAGGGCAGTGGCTTGCTGCGACCTCTGAACACCTTGGGTGCTAGAAGAAGGTCGTCTGCTACATCGTCCCAGGGTGCGGGCGAGAGCGATGTCGGGCAGCCATTGACGCCCAGCGAAAGGAGGCCCTCGCAAGTGTCTACACCGACAGCAAAGGAGTTTCCTGGCTCAGGTCTTCCGGAAGAGATCTCCAGTAAAAGTGACGGTCTGAAGCACAAGCTCTTCGGAAGGTGGAAAAAGGAAACCGCGGGGCAACAAGGCGAGCCACAGGTAGCACCAAGCTCACCGCCCCAGTCTTTTGAAGAGACGCCGACCGCCTCCTCGCCAGTCACGCCCTTGACCGATCTTGACAGCTCTCCAGCTCTCTCGTCTTCGTCTTCGTATCGCCCCTTGTCCGAACCGCGGCCCAATAACTCTGCCCAGGTTACTCCAGCATCTTCTGTAGCTGCTCCGCATCCCTCTCCAAACTTACTCGGCATCATTGTGCCATCTCCGATGGAGACAGGCTACCTGGAGAAGCTGGCGGAAGGGAACTCCCATGAGCGTTCACAGTACAGGCTTTCACCCCCGCCAGAGGTGCATGGAGAGGCCCACGTTGCTTCCAACTGCACCAATTTCTCGGTGGCTCCCTCTGCCAGCGATGTGGGCCCCGCGAACACGTATCAGAACAGTCAGCAGAGCGCAGGTATTGAAGCGAGTGGTCAGCAAATCTCTCTGGGCCATGAAGACGCTCATGCTCTCGGAAGTCGGGCGCAACAGGCGCCCGTCGCGAACGGCGTGAGTAAACCGAACAAGCCCACAAGGGATCTGCCCTACCCCCCAAAGGCCGCTCCCACGAGCGCATCCTATGAGACGGACCCGTTCAACTCGTTCGTCAATCACTCGCAAGGCCTTGTTCGCAGCAAGAGCGACACTGCATCAACAGGCGGGCTGGACAGTCCTCCTCTTGAAGTCAGCGAGGCAAACTTGGCCAAGGCTACGTCAGAGATGACAAGTCCGCTGCGGAGGACCCCTGCTCGGCCTGGTGCGAGCAAGAAATGGCGTTCTAAGACCAGGTCTCGAGCAGACACAGCTACCTCTTCCAGCAGTAGAAGCTCTTGGACCGAGCCCACGGCCAGAACTTCAAGCTTACAGTCGCCCGACCGAGGCTCGCAGCGAAGCGGACCCTGTCTTCCTTCCCCGCCTCCACGATCCAGCTCGTCCAGCTTTGGATACTTTGACGCTACCGATGTCGTCGATGTGTCTCCTTCTAGAGGCAGCCGTAGAGTGTCGTGGAAGGCAGATGCAATAGTGGAGAGATCTGAAGACCATGCTTCTGGATCTGAAGTAGCCTTTGGAGGGGCAAGCAAAATGAGCCGCTCCACGAGCTACAACTCAGTCGAATCTACATCCGACAAGGCATCCGCAAGAGGTGTGGAGTCACACTTGAGCTCGCCGATCCGCCAAAGGGCTTCTTCCTTGAGCTCAAAGTATGTAGACGCCGCTCAGACTCCCGACCGTAGTGAGTCTATGAAGTCAAGAAGAAACCAGGGTCCATCGATCCAGCCTGGGACAGAATCTTCCTCCACGACGAATGGCCCACCGAGTCTGCCGACAAAGAGTCCTTTACGGACCGACGGAGTGCGATCAAGCCGATCGGATAGGACTCTGCCGCCATCGAGCTCTGTTGCTGCACCGCAAGAAATGATTCCAAATACCTCCTCGACTAGCGCGTACTCTCCTTCCGCTCCACCTTTGCCCGTCGCAATTCCCTCTGATTCGGCAAACCGTCGCAAGCGTTCTGCTTCTAAAAGCACAGCTGTGCCTGTTGCTTCAAGCCCAGCAAGGTTCAGCTTAGAAGAAGCATTCATCTCAGGTGGCGCTGCTTGGAGTCTAGGAAGTACCAGCTCGAATCCACACCGTTCTGCGCCTTCAGATCGGTCCCGCAGCTTCGATCTTACGACCCGATCCGATCCATCGAGGGGAGCGACAGACACGCGTACATTGCCCTCACAAAGAGCCCGCGGTCAGACGAAGATTAGGTCGGAATCGGTATCATATGCTGGACAAAGTATCAGCCAAGACATGCCCGACTTAACGGCTGCTCTCCTTTCGTCTGCCGAAGCTTCCAAGGTCATGTCGCTTCCTGATACGCCTGACACAGAAAGCACTTCTAACGAGCGCGAACCTCCACGCGGATCACAGGATCTTGGACGTGAGAACGGGCATATGGATCTAGCCACCTTGAAGTCTCGAAAGTGGGGCATGTCCACTCAGGCCACATCAAATTCCGAGACTGACGGTAACTTCCTGCGGACTGCCAAGCGGAGCATGAGGAAGAAGAGCAACGATGCGAACACAAGACCAGCGATTCGGAGAATCTTTGAGACAGAAGAGCAGGAGCAGGGCCGACGGGTCCCTGGCTTCGACGTGAGCGACAGGCTACAAGGAAGTTCTGGGGAAGTGCCATCTTCGACTACGTCTGTAGCAGGGGCAAAGGATATCACAGCCCGCGTAGTCTCGGATCATACATCGCACTGGTCAAGCAACGACGTCGATGGTGAGGGAAAGAGACTGCTGAAGAGGCGCAATGTCATTCGGGAGCTGGTTCAAACAGAAAGGAGCTACGCAGCGGATCTAGCCGTCATTCGAGACGTCTACCTGGCTCAAGCTCGTGCATTGGCTGGGCCGACCTCTTCTAGTCCCTTGGCAGCCAATCCCGCCTCAAGACCCACCTACTCGCCCTTGGAGTCTCCGCCTGTATCAGCTTCTCAATTCCCCGCAAGCCCTGGCCCATCCGCTTTCCTCAGTAGGACCATTTCAAATGGCGAGCCTCCCTCACTCGTTACTCCACCGATGCCCAGTCATGCTCGCATGCGATCAGTGTCGGCCAACAGCACTACAAACGCGCCATCTCAGGCTTCCGGCAGTGCAAGCAATCGCTCGTCGATGATGACGTCCGACTCAAAATCCGCCTCGAGACATGGTCAGGATGGCGCAGCCTCTTCTTCAACTTCCTTTGCCTCCTCTCGACAGGGTGTGGACGACAAGGATGGAAAGCCAAGCCGTCTTCTCGCTGCGCACGATCTAACGACTCCATCCCTGTCCATTGAGACTGCGGAGAATATGCTTCGGAACCCTCAGAACCCTGCTCTCAGGAGCGAGCCAAGCAGCGCAGACATCGGCGGTAGCGCAAAGAGTGCGAATGCTGATGTCACAGGTCTGCTCACTAGGCCTGCAGTGGCGGCCGGTTTTATGCTCCCGTCGCCATCTAGCCTTTTGACCCCATCGTCGCCAAATCCGCAGGCTCCTATGACGGCAACGGACATCCGCGTCATCTTCGCCGGTGTGGACCAAGCATCTGCTTTCGCAGAGGAAATGTCTACTCTGCTGGAATCTGCAATGGGTACGCTTGCTGCTGCTCCACTGCCGAGCAATGTTGCGGATCTCGCCGATGCGTGTGACGATCGTATTGGGCGCACCTTTCGAGGGTTGATAGAACGCCTTCACGTCGTCTTTGGCGCGTATTACTCTCGACATGAAGCCTCCATAGCCAGATTGCAAGAGCTAGCAGCGACATCCGCTAGGGCAGCTGCTTTCCTCAAGGAATGCGACGTAGTGGCGCGCACAAAAACCAATGCCTGGGATCTGGCATCTCTTCTCATCAAACCTGTGCAGAGGATGCTGAAGTATCCCCTCCTCTTGTATGAGATCTTGTCCGCCACTTCAACCTCCCATCCAGATTACGAAGATCTCAAGCTGGCGATTGAAGAGATGCAGAAAGTCGCAGACTCTATCAATGAATTGGGCAGGCGTAGGGACATTATCAATCAGATCGTCAGTGGACAGAGCCCTTCGCAGGGTACGAGCAGGTCAGCCTCCAAGAGCCCCACCATCAAGGGTCCTCGTCGTACCACTGGTATATTGCGAAAGCAGAAGTCCAGGGTGAGGGACCTTACCGGTGGCAGCGCTTCCTCTTCGCAGCTACTGGGAGAGGTGACCCCGGTGCTGTTGAAGGACGAAGATGGCTACGCCTCTCTCGTGGCCTCTACGAAGACCCTGGAGGAGGGCATCGAGGCCCTGCACCGGAGGATTTTGAGGTGGTCGAATTATGCAAAGCAATGCTACGACCATCAGAGTTCCCTTCTTCAACGATGGTCAAGCGTCTACAGTCTGGCTGGAAGGGACGACGCCTTTGGTAACGAGGGGGCGATCAGTGCTTCAGATGGCTTGAAGGCCATGTCAGAGCACTTGCATCAAGCAAGTGAGCGATGTGCAGCTCAACTCGACAACGAGATTGGCATGGTCCTGCTCCCAGCTCTGGACAAAATCCGCAAGATGTTCGCTGGTCCGCGTGCATACATGAGCAAGCGAGACGAGCGCGAGGCTGACTATGCCAAGTACAAGGCTCTGATTTCCTCGAACAAGGACATCAAGCCAACGGCGATTGACCGTAAGCTCATTGAAGCGGCCAATGGCTTCGTGGCTCTGCACAGTCAGCTTCTTGAAGAGCTGCCTTACTTCGTGCAAGGCATTGAAGCTGCCCTGCAACCCGTCATTGTTTCTTTTGCTCGCACTCAAGGTCTTTACCACGAGCAGATGCTGGGACTCTTGCAAGACTGTGCCACCACGTATCACTTGAAGCCGACACTACCCTCGCTTTCATTTGCTGCCCATGAGGACGCTACTGCCGAGGAAGGAGATCTCAGCATCCCGCCTCTGACGGCTCTGAACTCCCGCGAAATCACTCAGCATTGGTGGGCTGCACAAGCGCCTATTGCTGAGGTCCTTGAAGAGCTCAGAATTTGCGACTACAATGGCGGACGCTCTGCAACATCAGCCAACATGAAAGCCACTCGGTCCGATGCTGGCCCTCAACGCGCCGAGGATTACGCAAATCCGACGTTCCGCCCGCGCAACTTCAGCACTCCGGACGCCAACGTTGTGGGAGCTCTGCATCCTACTTTGGCTGCTCCAAGGTACAGCCCTGGCTCGGGCGACAGCTTTGGTCATCCGTCACCTCAAGAAGGTAGAAGAGTCAGGGAATTCTTTGATCCTAAGCTGCACACTCCACCTGAGACCCCCGGTGGTTCTTCTAGAGGCTTCATTTCTGCCCCGGCCAATGGCAAGTCGTCGCTTTTGGGCACGAGGGGCAACAGCAGCAGCACTGGTAGCATGTTGCGAAGCATTTCTGAGACTCTGAAGCCGGGCTCCCAAGCTCAAGCTGACAAGTCTAGTCACGAGGTGAGGCAAATGTACAATGTGCCCTCTCACAGCTCAACTCCTAGGCACAGAGAGCGTCGACTGGCCAGCGAACCTTCTGTCCGAGGCCAGGAGCACGCTTTCGTCCTGCCCAATCTCGACTTGGGAGAAAAGGATCTCAGCCCCGTCGCTTCGCCACAGCTCGAGGGGAAGAATCGCTTGAGCGGAGAGTCATGAGTCCGTTGCTTTCAATTCGCTCGCTCGCAACGCTTTCTCCTGCCGATCACGTAGTCGCTGCTATTCGCAGGTCTTGGTCTTGTCTCGCCTGTACGCTACACTTCTTCGACTTTCACAATTGTGCGCTCTTGCACTGTCACTGCGTCCTCTTATATCCTCCTCGCCTCTTCTTTACACTACCATTTAGCGATGTCCCCCCTCTGCTCGTCTCTGCCATGATATCGCGACGGGTAATTGGAAGCATTTCTCCTTTTGTCTTTCCTGATGTACACCTCGTTTGCTCACTGTGCATGTCAATAGAGATGTAAGCAGTGTTTACATTTGTGGAGAGGTGGGATACAGGTGCGTTGATGCTCAAGAAGTCGCGCGGGCATCCAGACAGACAAGACATTCGCCTCTGCTAAAAGCAATGAGAGACGAGCCTTTGCTGAGACCAGCTGCTGAAACCCTCATATCACTCTCACCGCCCCTGAATCCTCCCTCGCACCCTGCCCTATTCAGCTCGCCTCTCTCACTTCTTGCCCTTCTTCTTGGCCGGGGCTGCAGCGGCTTGTGGCACAGGTGGTGCCTCGACCTTGGCCGGTCCAACCTTGGCCAGACTTCCTTGATTGCCAGGGAACGGCTTGCCCTTGAGTAATTCTCCCACCTGGCGCGTGAGACTGTCTCTCGCCTCGGGTGAGACTGTAGTGTTACCGCTGAGTGCATGGCTGGCAATTCGCTGCAGTTCTGCCTGAGCCGAATCCTCGCCAGCACTCTTTTGCTGCTGAGCAGAAGGGGGTAGGAAGCGAGAGTAGTCTCCTCCTTCACGCTCGAGGTAGGCTTGCTGACGCTGTCTCTTGCTCATGGCCGAGAGAGACTCCTCCTCCTCCCCACCGGCGGCACGGGCGTTGATCCCCCTTGCCTTTTCCCCCTTCACGAACTGCACACCCCTAACCATTCCCTCTGGACCAATCTGATGTCCACCGCCCTTCCTACGTAGTTTCAGGTGCAGACTCCTCTCGGCATGCTTGAGGCTGGTGGCATTGGACGAAGAAGGACCGATGGCCACGGATTTGATCGATGAGGCAAAGGAGGAATTGGGCAGCGGTGGGGTAAGGTGAGCGTGCTTAGCAGGCGGAGCTGGGTCGAGGAAAGCTGCAGAGGACCAGTTGGTCTTTGCGTACTCTATCTTGGGACCAGTAGAGCGCACCGGCACCCGCGGTTGTGGTGGCGCAGACGACGACGATGAGGACGAGGGTGCGAGGCTGGAAGAAGACTCTTCCGAAGATGGTGCAGACGATGAAGACGCAGAGGCAGAGGTGGTCGTCGAGAAGCTCCTTCTTGGGAAAATGGAAGCGACGCCTCTTCGGAGAGCTGCACGACTAGGCGCTGTGATACTTGCTGACATACTGACGTTGAGAGGCGGTGAGGATTGGTATCGTGGAGTGGTGAGATGCGGTATATTGGCTGGAAGATGTGAGGTGAAGGAGCCGTCGCGGCGGAAGAGTCGAGCCTCGGCTCAGCGTCCACCGCCCGCGCAGTCGCTTGGTTGCTTCCGTCGCCTGGCGTGGTGAGGTCGGTGCACGTCTTGATCGCACTGCTCGCTCTCCTTCCTCGTCATCATCCTCATCGTCATCATCCTCATCGTCATCATCCTCATCGTCATCATCCTAGCCATTCTCTTCTATCCTCGATAGCATCCGTCATCACAGGCGAAAGGTGAAACTCCACCATGGAGACACTCGTAGCCTCCGACGATTACGCAGCTGGCGGTACAATTCCCTTTCATGGAGATGACGCTGACGCCATTGCAAACGCGAACGACGCTGAGATGAACGCCGAATACGAGCAGCCCGGCTGGGAACACGAGGAACGCATGGAGGAAGAAGGGGAACAAGAAGGGGACTCTAATTCAGTTCTGAAGCCGACAGATGCTTTTCCCCCTGTGGTAGGAGAATCAGAAGAGGTGATGGAGTACGATCAAGATGCTTCTGGAGATGCCGCTGAAGAGGCAGACGAGGATGGCGATATCGACATCGGCGAAGTGGATGAAAGCGCAGACGTCGTCATCGCAGACGAGGAGGAACAAGTCGATCAAGAAGGGCAAGATGACTCCGCATACGAGCAGGGTGCTGAGATCGTCCAGGAGGTAGTGCTTGATGATGAGCAGGAAGAGCAGCAACATGGTGACGCGCCCGAAGCCACAGAGCTCGCATCTGATAATCCACCTGTACTGGCAGCGGTAGCAGAGAGCGAAGCGGCGAAGCTGGGCACGAGTCAAGAAGGTGACCACTCCGGAGAACCTTCATTGTCAGGTCCAACAGTCGGGGCAGCGACTGATTCATCCGCAGATGTACCCACGGATGCACCGAACGTCGACAGTGAATCTGTGGTAGCGCATGAACAGGCCACCTCAGAATCTACAGTCCGTGAGCCATCGCCCTCCAGCGGACAGCAACACGAGAGCAACGCAAATGCTGATTCGAGCGGTGCGGAGGGCGCAGCCAAGAATGCCGACGTTGGAGGTGCCGAACAAGCGGCTGACGAAGTCGAGGACGACGACCAGGCCGGAGACGCCTCATCCTCGGAGTCTTGGGATGCCGGAGAAGAAGAAGATGAGGTAGCAATCGAACCCATTCGGCTGTCTTTCCAAGACCAATCGTTCGCCATCTTCTCTGCGGACCCAGAGTCCACGAGCTATCTGGCCTGGGACGATGAGACAGACACACTCAAGACTGTACCGGCTCCGAGACTTGCCGTGGACGAAGATGTATTCTGGTCGCCGCTTGAGACTCTTTTCAATGCTCTGAGAGTCAAAGATGCACTGGGGGAGTTTCTTGAAGGCGAAAGTGGAAGTGAGCTGGTGATGACGTTCCCAGAGCTGGAGCTGACGGTTCGAGAGGTGAGTAGTAATGCCACTTACGACATGCGACGACTGTTGGATGGCTTGTTGACGTCTTTGACCCTCCGCCGTTTCCCGATATCAGGACAATGTTTATGCTCGCGAGATCTCCCTCACCCATCTGATACGTCTTCACCATCAGCTGGGTCTTCGAGACAGCATGCACATTCGGATCTCTGAGGATTCGAGATTCATCTCACAATACAATCTCTTGGCGCAGCAGATCGCTCAAGCGCAAAAACAAGGAGCTGAAGATACTAGCGGAGAAGAAGTAGGCGCCCCTGAGGCCGAAGAGGCAGTAGCAAGCGCGAGCACACTCCCTCTCACAGCGGAAAGTGATGGGGTGATGGGAGAAGGTGGCGCGGCGCAAGATGAGAGGGTCGGTGCTCTGAAGAACGCAGATGCCGCACACGAGGAAGTCGAGGAGGCATCTGCCACTGTGGCTGCAGAAGTGAAGCCAACAGCTACCGAAGAGGCTGCGGACATTGACGGTGAAAGCGGAGGCGCGGACTTGAACACAGCCAAGAATGGCGCTGTCGATGGCTTGGCCGCTCAAGACGCCGAAGCAGTACAGAAAAGTGGTGCACAGCAAGGAGAGGCTTCGGCCACCTCTACTTACGAGGAGCATGGCAGTGAAACCGTCCGAGAAGCAGATGGCGCCGCGGAAGAGATCATAGAGTACCAGGAGGAAGGCGATGAGCAGCTCTCTGCCCATCTAGCCGATCAGGAGGAAGGCGAGGCCGAAGATCAGACCGGCTCATACGAAGAAGTCGGTGTCGACGACGTTGACAATGATGCTGCAGAAGGTCAGCAAAGTCTCGATGCTGCAGCTTATGCTCAAGAAGAAGATGAGGAGGAGGAGGAAGGCTACGTCGATGAGACTCAAGAAGCGGAAGCGGAAGGAGCCGATGATCAGGAGACAGACAATGTTGCCGAGCATCCGGATGCAGACCAATGGCAAATCGTCGAGGGCGAAGAGGAAGAAGCCGACGATGAAAATATCGACGCTCCAGAGGAGGAAGCTACCGCAGCTGCGGATGTAGGCACTGCAGACTATGAGGAGCAACTGCAAGAAGAGTCTGGTGAAACGACCGCCGGGTCCACAAATGGCGACAAAACAGGTGCGGCTACCTCACCTCTTCCCGAGAGCATTCCCAACGGCGCTTCAAAGAGACGATACGCCGATGATGACCTGATTGAGGAGGCAACCTCCGCGGCAGATGCCAAGAAGGCCAAAGTGGCCTGATTGGCTGTGCTCTGTTTACGCTAGGCAGATCCACAAGCTTTGCCGCCCACTCTGCTGCGCGCCGTCCCTTCTATCAGACCGCTGCCAGTTGATACCCCAGCGATGGTGATCGATCAGGTATTCCTGGCTGCTCCATACACCATCCTCGAAGCGGCGCTCATGCTGCTACAGGTATCCTGACCGGTCACACCTTTTGCCGATCTGTCCCTGTGAACGTCCATAGCAATTCGCCGGAGAGTCGCTGATTCCACAGCAGCCCTACCAATACTCCCGCGACACACTATACCCATCGCCTCATCGTAGAAAGCTCTTCGAATCCAAGACCTGGGACGCTGGCATGAAGATTACGAGACATGCTCTCACTCGTTCGCTGTCATTGTCCACGATACATTCCTCCCCCTTCCGCAAGACTCAAAGCAATTCCTCCATTCCAATTCATCACACACTCTCCCCCTTCGACACCTCTTCCCCACAGGTATCCCAGCGAGCGAGCTTCGCAAGTTGCCAGGCCTTGTTGAGCCCTATCGTAGGTACGGTCAGAACCAGGTAAGTAGGCGCGCCAACTACACTGACAGTCGTGGATGATGCCGGAGCCTCTGTGGAGTGGGAAGGGGGATGTGGAGTTTACCAAGCCTGTGTTGAGTCTGTACTTGTACCCTTCATGCGTCTGCACCCAATTGATTGTTCATGCCTTCTGTAGTATTGCCAAGTAGCTGGTCTGCCATGTTCCCAAGCGATTGCGTCGATTGCCCTCTGCTCTGCCGCGCATCGACGCGCCTCCCGTCGCTCCGCCTCGAGACGAGACGCAACGCACGTCGAGTGGAAGCTTCCGAGGCAACGCTATCCGCTTCCTCCCCCATCACCAGCATCCCTCGTACATCATGTCGCAACCACAGGGCTACCCACACTACCAAGACAGCCCGGCTCATCAGGCTGCATCGCGGAAGATGAAGCGCAAGCATCAAGCTGGTGGATCCCAGCAGCAACATCAGCAGCAGCGAATGCATCCCAATCACCTACGAGGCGGTCCAGGCGGGGGCAGCTCTGGCGCTGGCAGACAGGCGTTCCTTGTACCGCCGGGCAGCACGGGACCTATGGCTTGGGGACATGCATACGAGGATGAGGGCACAGACATGATCATGGGTGAGTTTGACCCGGCCCAGCCCGGCCTCTACTCGCGTATAGAGCTAGAGATGAGATGTGTGGACTGACAATCAAATCTCAAACTGCTGCGCTGCTCTGGCCCATTAGACGAGATGGACCGTCTGACCCCTAGAGACCTGGCTGTGGCCCGCTTCAGGAGGAATCACGACTTCATTGAGGCCATCTTCGACGAGAAGAAGATTGGTGAGCAGAGAGACGATAGATGAGGTGCATACTTTCAGTCTCTGACGCTTGTAGCGGATCTTCTATTTCATGACCACTCATGGCAGCCAATCTCGAGCCTCCTCCCTCTCCTTATGCTGATCTGTCCAGGAAAGATCTTCAAGCGCAGCTAGACCTGTCAGAAGCGCAGACGGCAGAGATGAAGAGACTCCACGAGGAGCGCATCCAATCGTTCAAGCAGAATATCAGTGCAGAACAAATCGAGAAGGACGTAGCAAGACAAGCAGAGGTTAATCCTGAGGAGGAAGCAGCGCTCGAACCGTGGGCAAGGAACGCCGGGAAAGGCAGAAGACTGACTGCTGGATTTGCATACGTTCAAGCTCGCACTCCCGAAGTGGTGAAAGGAGCCCTGAGGGCTAGGGAGACGGCTTTGGCAGAACAGAGGGCGGAGCTAAGCGCAGGTCAGGAGACGGCTGAGGCGAGGCAGCAGAAGGCTGCCGAAGATGAAGCGATCCGAAAGCTCAACTTGGAGCATGGGATGGAGCCGCCTGCCCCCGTCAGCATGCCTCCTCCGCCTCAGCAGCCCCGACCCCCGCAACAACAGCAGCCAGTGCCTCCACAACAGCTACAGCAGCCAGAACCTCAAGAAGTCCAGCAACAGCAAGTCTCAACAGGCCCTTCGGAGGAGGTTCAGCAGCTTCAGCCAACGGACAAGGCTCCTACAGACGTCGCAGGCGAAGCTGTAGACGCGGATGCCGAAGCAGATGCGGATGCAGATCCCGACGCTGATGCTGATGCCGATGCTGACGGCGAAGGCGAAGGTGATGGTGATGGTGATCAGGAAATGGTCGAGCTTGTGGACAACGGGGAAGGCGGCGCTGCTGGATTGGCGGCAGTGCCAGAAGCAGCTGCGGATGGACAGGCTCAACAGACACAAGAAGAAGAGGTAGCGGATGCTGCGACCGCAAATGAAGAGGCGGAGAACCTCACACACCCTCTCTCAGCAGAGGCCGAGGCTGCCGCATCGGCGCCCGAAGACGCGGGTACAACGATGCCGACAGAGGCCACACAGGAACTTCCTGTGGTTTCTGAAGCTGCTCCAGAAGCTGCCGCCGAGGCTGTCCCGGAAGCCGCTACTGAGGCTCCTCTCGAAAGTGTCGTGCCGGCTGAGCCCGAGACTGCGACAGAGACTGCACCCGCGGCTGCAACTGAGGCAACTGGAGACGCAGAGACCGCTACAAAGGTCGTGCCCGAACCCTCGGAAGCGAGTGCGGGAGTTCCTCCGGTCGCCGAAGAGGTTTCGCAGCAGCAGCCGTCAGAGGAGATCATGAAGGCTCCTACGCCACCACTGGATGAAAATCTGGCGGAGAACGATGCGCCGAAGCAGCTGTGAGGTGACGAAGTGGTAGTGGTGTCCTCTTCGTCGTCATTGGCTTCATTTCGCCTCTGTCGGTATCTTTGTCTGTTTGTACAAATATAATTGCTAGTCACAGTCATCCTGCTCTTCTCCTTTACACCTGAAATCCTTATATCCTTTCCGTCTGGGCCGGCGCTATTCTACTCGGTGGCGGCGACGACATTGATGCCGGAGTGGAAGCTGACGTGGAAGAGGGTGATAGTGAAGCAGACTCTGGAGTAGCCAACGCTTTGCTTCCACGGTTGCGCTGGTGGTGCTGGATGACCATCTTCATCCTGTTTTGCTCTGCCGCTAGGGATCTCCTGCACATCTCCCTGCGATGAGTGAGGAGCAAAATGGGGGAAAGGCAAGGATTTGTTGAGTTTCCCACTTCGTACGACCTGCGGGACGACCTCTCTGTACTCACCAGCTGGTAACGCTAACGAGAACGAATGATCCCGCCCCCCAATTTGCACTTGTCCTCAAGCTCCTCCCTGTGACCATCCTAATCGCCGTCACACCAATGCCGGTACACAGCCCAAGGAGGTAGGATCTCCGAGCACATGGCATTCGACCCTCTGCTAGTCGATGTGCCGATGAGGAGATGGCGGCTGGTGCAAGGGCCGAGGTGGAGGAGGAAGAGGAGGCAGAGGAGGGAGTGGGTTGATCGGGGACTACGCCTGTGGCTAGACGAGAGGCTTGCAGAGGCTGCTGCTGCTGCTGCTGCTGCGAAGAGGCTGACGAGGAAGAAGAGGCTGACTGCGACATTGTGTACGAGTGAGCTCTCTGCAGTGATATCTGTGGCTGTTGATGGTCAGTGTTAGCAAGGCTAAGGTGATGGATGAGTGGCCAGATCTTCTCGATGAGCAAAGTAGTCCTGCTTGACTTCCACTGCCACTTCCGCCGCGGAACTGCGCCAGGCTGCACAGACGCGGACGCCCTCATGACGCGAAAGGCGCCGAGGTGTGGGGCGTACGCTTCTTAGTGTCTTGTCCACTTTCCCATGGCCCGCTTCACGCCCTCGACGTCGACTGCGGTCTCGTCAAAGGCCCAGAGAGGTGGAGTTGAAGGGACAGTCAGTAGCGATGGTAGTGCTACTCGCAACGGACAGTCCATCGATGGCTCGTCTGCTCCACCGACTCAGTCCGCCGCCCTGCCGAAGCCAGCATCTTCTTCCTCTGACCGCGACCGGGGAGGCATTCGTGCCATAGCCCGTACTGACGTTCACCGGATCACCTCAGGCCAGGTAGTTCTGGACCTCTCCTCTGCGGTCAAAGAGCTGGTAGAGAACGCCCTCGATGCAGGTGCTACCTCCCTCGAGATTCGCTTCAAGAACTTTGGACTAGACTCGCTCGAGGTCGTCGACAATGGCGCTGGTATCAAGCCGGAAGATTACGAGTCGGTGGCTCTCAAACATCACACTTCCAAGATCGAGAACTTCGACGACCTCAACTACGTCAAGACATTTGGCTTTCGGGGAGAAGCCTTGTCGTCCCTCTGCGCTCTGGCGGAAGTGACCATCCTCACAGCCACGCTGGAGGAAGCTCCGATGGGTACGGTGCTTGAATTCGCCCAAGATGGAAGTATCGCCGACTGCACCAAGCGCATGGCTCGTCAGAGGGGCAGTACAGCCACCGTCAATAACCTCTTCCACTCTCTGCCTGTCAGAAGGCGCGAGATGGAGAAGCATTGCAAGCGGGAGTATGGCAAAGCACAGGCGCTGCTTCAGGCGTATGCTCTCATCTCCAAGGGCGTCAGATGGAACATAGTCAATATCACAAAGGAGGGCAGAAAGAATGTAGCGCTCGCCGTTTCCTCAGCTACCGGAGCTGATTGGCTGTCCAAGAACTTTGCTTCCCTCTTCGGGGCGAAAGCTCCGGTCACCCTACAAGCATTGGACATCGTGCTCGAAATCGAGAGGCCAAAGACGAGGAAGCGTGACTTGGCTCCTCAGAGGTCTTCGGCCGTCAAGAGACGCAGGCGAGAGGTCAACAACTCAGATGAAGAGGATATTGGAAGTGACACAGGGTCAGATGAAGAAGACGGCGCCGGTCAGGGGGGCCAGGAGCTCAATGGCAAATACCAGACTGTCTTGATCAAAGGTCTGATCTCGAAGCCCACCAAAGGCAGCGGCCGGACTTCTTCCGATCGTCAATTCCTGTACATCAACGGTCGGCCTTGGGATAGCCTCAAGGTCACAAAGGCCTTCAACGAGATCTACCGCCAATTCAACGGCTCACAGTATCCTGTCGTCGTTGCCGACTTTACCCTGCCAACCGACAGCTACGACGTCAATGTCAGTCCGGATAAGAGGACAATCTTCCTGCACGACGAACAACAGCTCGTTGAAGCCCTCAAGACTGGTCTTGACAATCTTTTTGCCCCTTCGCGGGGTACCCTCGCGGTCAACACGTCCTTTATGCCCAGCCAGGCAGCAGCATTTACCCAGCAAAGGCTGCCGTTCCAACGCAGCAGCAGTGCGGAAGAGGAAGGCGAGGAAGAAGAAGACGATCCACTGAGTCCACGAAGGGCAGAGCATGCCGTCTCGCCAGAAGCAGAAGAGGATGAAGCTGGCGAAGCCGAGCAGCAGACTTCTGACCCAACACTGTTGCCAAAACGTGATGCTGATCAGCCCCCCGAAGAGAGTGATGAATCGGAAGGAGAGGCGGAGGCGGTAACGAGTGACAGCCGGACTCTGTCTCTGTTCGCCCAGCGGCAGCCCGTGGACAGACCTCCGTCAAGACCGAGCGCCGCCTTCTCGACATATCAGAGCACTTCGAACCCTTCAGAGAATCGCAATAGTGCGGACAGAACGGCTGCCAGCTCCCTACGAGATTCTTCTCGTTTTAGCACAAGCTCTCTGTCATCTCGGAGAGCTGAACCTGCTTTGCACTCAAAGAAGGGCGCGCCTATGACCCTTTCTTCGCGCCGTGGGGGTCTCCAGTCTGTGCTAGCTGGCTTTGTTGCTCCTGGCAGTCAACGCCCCTCGCTCTCGTCCGATAGAAGGTCAGATGGGGAGCAAGAGGACCAGCTGACGGCGGAAGAGATCGAAGCTCTTGAGTATCGAGAAGATGTCGCCGGATCGGATGAGAGCGTCGAGGCAAGTCCCGAAGCCCAGCCCGCCACAGAGGAAGGTCAAGGAAGAGAGATGGAAGAAGAGAGCACGGTAGACGACCCACAAGCCCTTCGCTCCAAGCACGTCTCGCTGCCTGGAGATGCCGCGGACGAGGACGAGGATGACAGGACTCGCAATCTAGCAAGGTTGGAAGCATCGGCGGCAGAGACGCACGCAACCGAGCCTGTGTCCGTCGCTGAGACCTCTGCCGGGATTGCGCACGATTCGAGCGGACAAGTCCCCGTCGATATGGACGCCCTGAGGGCCATGGTCGAGCGGCGCAAAAGGCTTGCTCAGAAGGCAGCCAGAGAGGCCGCAACCCGTCCTGTCTCCAGTTCTAGCAGCGTCGATGACTTTTCCACTGCCGGTCTCTCCAATCGCGATGCACAGCAAGTAGAAAGCGAGCTGCAGCGAGTCATCACCAAGTCAGACTTTGCGCACATGACCGTCCTTGGTCAGTTCAACCTCGGGTTCATCATTGCCCGTAGACGCGGTGAGACGGACGGGAGCGACGACCTCTTTATCATCGATCAGCACGCCTCGGACGAGAAGTTCAATTTTGAAACCTTGCAGGAGACGACTAAGATCCGGAGTCAAAGACTGATCCAGCCTCGCTTGCTGGAGCTTTCCGCGAGCGATGAGCTCGTGGCGGTGCAGCACGTAGAAGCGATCAGACTGAATGGCTTCGACATCGACATTGAAGAGGAAGGCGTGGCTGGCTCGAGGATCAAGCTCTTGGCTCTGCCCGTGAGCAAAGGGACGACCTTTGGGGTACGCGACCTCGAGGAGCTCCTCTTCCTCCTGCGGGACGTAGCTCCCGGCTCCTCGAAGGCGTCAGGGGTACGCTGCTCGAAGGTGAGAGCCATGTTTGCCTCGCGTGCATGTAGGAAGAGCGTCATGATTGGGACAGCGTTGAGTGCCAGACAGATGGGCGGGATTGTGCGGCAGATGGGGATGATTGAGCAACCATGGAATTGCCCGCACGGGCGGCCTACGATGAGACACTTGGCTTGTCTGAGGGCATTGGAGAAGAGCAGGGCATCTGAGGGAAGAAGACAGATCAATTGGGCCAGTCTCAAGACCTCCTGATCGGCGGAGGAGGCAATTGGAAGCGAGACATTTCTGCTGTACATCAACTCAACTGGCACGCGTATACCCTCTGATGGTTCAATGTAACAATGTAATTTTGCGAGCGGAATGTGGAAGCTGAGAGAATGCGTATATGTACACCAGGGCAAAGCACCTGGCTTGAAGAAGGTATGTTGTATATGGGAAGAGGTGACAAGTAGCAAAGCTATGAAGCGAGACAAGGCGAGGCGGTACGAGGCGACTCAACTCGTCTGTCCCGCCTTTGCAGCCGCTTCCTTCTCGGCTTCCTTTTTCTGAGCATAGATCAAGGGGGCAAGGGAGGGGAAGAGAGCCCATCAGCGTCCTGCTATCTTCTCTATCTCCTTCAGCTTCCTCTTTGCGCCTACTCACCGCCTGCTTGTCTCGAATGATCTGGGCGTCCCTCTCCCTACGGGCGGTGAGGGAAACGCCGCTCTCCTTCTTTCCCTTGTTGGCAGCAGCTGCCTTCTTCTGCGCCTTGGCACGGTCTGTGTCTCTTTGATTGCCGCCTGAAAGGATTGCATCGTGGAAGGTGGTAGACGAAGAGGATGACAAGGTAGGGGAGGGCAGGAGGGAGCAATGGCGGTTGTGAGATGGAGAGTCTGCGTGCGCGAAGGACGCAGTCACTCACGAGTCATGCTGGGATGCTATGCTGAGATGTGCTTCCGTCTCCTCGTCTCTTTCTAGGTATTGTGTAACCCAGCACTGCTCTTTGGACGGCGTATGAGGTGATGAGGCTGCAAAGGGGCAAGGTCGTAGGGACGTGGTGAACGGGACAAGATACGGAAAGGGCCAGTCAGTGGCTCCAGGCAATGCACGCCAAAATCCAAAAGCCTGTCGGGGGGCGTGGGCGCGCGTCTTGATAGCAACCGGGGGACCATTACAGCCATGAAAGACCTCTTGAGGCGGGGCGCATCTGATTGAGGTCAGGTATCGTGGGCCACCAATGATGCGTCAACGATCAGTCATTTCTCACAAGCATAGGAGTGGGAGTTGCTTTGCTGCTGCTGCTTCGGGAGGAACGGGCCGATGCGGGAGCGGCGCCGGACAAGGAGCTTCTGTTTGATCAATGGACGGACAGGACGGTCACCAATAGGACAGGATTTATGTATTTCGACTTTTTGTCTGGATATCTTTGAGATCCTCACACTCCCTACATTCGCCGTTCACACTTCCATCATATCACTAGGCCTCTCCAACCCAGCCTTTGCCAACCCTCCCCTTTCTCGGCCTTCGAATGCCCATCACCACCCCGCACTACTACGACTTGCACGGTCCCTCTTCGCGGGCAGTATCCAAGCAAGACCCTTGAGCAATCTACCTCCACCTCCCCTCATGTCTCACTCCTTCTCAGGGGCTCCTTCTACCGCGGTCGAGGCGTCTCCTCGAGGTCTCCTTCACCGCTTGCGAAGCGTCAAGCGCCGCAGCCTGCCAGCCTCTCACGGATCAGCTTCTACCTTTGCTAGATTGCAGAAGGATGAAGGACAAGCGATTCAAGAAGCTGGCTTAGATGAAGTCAGACTGACCAGCGACAGAACTCCCGCTCGCCTCCTGGCCTCGGAAGCCGTCGACGTCGCCCCTGCCGCTGGAGCAGAAGAAGACCCGCTCACCGCGAGCGAAGCCATCCGATTTGGCTCTCAGGTACTCACTTTTACTCCAGACCAGAAGGACTCCACGATCCAATCACGCATAGATCAAGTATACAAGGAGCAAGTCAAAAGCCACTTTGGCTCCAATCGGTGGGCCTTCCTCTTTAAGCCCGGCAGGTACAACTTGGACATCAAGCTCGGCTTCTACACTACTTGCCATGGCCTTGGAGCGAGTCCCAGCGAGGTCGTCATCACTGGTTCCGTACGCGTTAAAGGAGACTTTCTGCCAAAGAACAATAGCACACTCAACTTTTGGAGGGGTGTCGAGAATCTCACAATCGTACCTGCTCTAAAGCAAGATGATAGAAAGGTCGTCTGGGCTGTCAGTCAGGGCACCTTCTTTCGTCGCATACATGTCAAGGGAGACATGGTGCTCTCCGATGGCGACGGGTGGTCTTCGGGTGGATATAGTGAGTCTCGAAAAACGTTTCTTCAAACCTGTCAGAATAGCGGCGATGACCCTGACTACTACTGACTGCTACTACTCGGGGCTGGATCATTCCAGTTGCCGACTGTGTCATAGATGGCACGATCACCAATGGCACACAGCAGCAATTTTTCTTCCGCAACACCAGCATGGGCTCCTTCGTAGGCGGGTCCTACTCTCAAGTGTTCGTTGGTTGCAAGGGCGCACCCAAGGAGGACTGGCCATCCAAGCCCTACTCTGTCACTAAGGCGACGCCTCGTGTGAAGGAGAAGCCGTACATCACTTACGAGGACAAGAAGTACTGGTTGAACCTTCCACGGCTGAGAGAGGGTTCCGGTGGGCCCAGCTGGTCTAAGAGCAGCACGAACAGAGGCTCTCATCTCAGAGTTCGGCTAGCTACCTTCCACATAGCCGAGCCCTCGAGAGACAATGCCACGACGCTCAATGCAGCTCTTCACAGGGGCAAGAGCATTCTCTTCCTTCCTGGTGTCTATCAGCTCAACTTTGCTCTGCAAGTTGCTAACCCTGATACTTGCTTGTTGGGCCTGGGGTTGGCCACCCTGCGGCCCGCTCATGGGACTCCCTGTATTATCACCGCCGATGTAGATGGCGTGACGCTGGCTGGCCTCTTACTTGAAGCTGGTCCGCATCCGTCCAGCACTCTGTGCTCCATTGGCGATGCAAAAGCCTCCACACCTCACAGGCACAGCCCTACGATGGTACAAGACGTCTTTGTCAGAGTAGGAGGAGCAATCGCAGGTCGATGCCACTCCCAGCTCCTGATCAATCTCAGGGATAGTATCATGGACAACATCTGGCTCTGGAGGGCGGATCATGGTGAAGGGGCTGACTGGTATACTAATCAGTGCACAGTCGGTTGCATTGTCGAAGCACGCAACGTCACTGGCTATGCTCTGTTTGTCGAGCACAATCAGGGCTTCCAAGTGCTGTGGAATGGCAACGGAGGAGCGGTCTACTTCTACCAAGTGAGTCGGATGCGAAGGCAAGGGGGAGCGCTCAAGTCGGTGGCTGACTGCAACGGCTTTCATTGGTCAATATCGCAGAGCGAGCTTCCCTACGACCCGCCAGGCAGCAAGATCTGGTCTCACTCCAACCGCAAAGGCTTCCCCTCGTACAAGGTCGCTCCTGCGGTCACCTCTCACTACGCCAAGGGTCTGGCCATCTACTGCGTCTTCAAGACTCCGGGCGTCCAGTGCCATACTGCCGTCGAGCAGCCCCTTACAACTGCTACCGGGGACGATGGGAGACACACGGTAGAGGTGCGACATGTCACTCTAGGCCGATTTGGCGGTGCTGAGGGTACGGGGATCAGGCACGTCATCAATGGACGCGGTGAGGGGGTGGGACCGACGAGGCAACGGGTGCGATTGTTGGACGCCTACAGGTGAGCGGGGCAGAAGGTGTGAAGGGAATGAGGAGAAAGAAGGCGATAGCGCTCCATCGCAAACACTCTTATCTGGATACCTGTACATTGAGCGGCTCCCCTAATACTCCCCTCTCAGCTCGGGGCGACGTAATGACATCTCACAGGGCTAGTCCCACAGTATCAATCTTCGAGGGAAGTGTGTGTGCAAACCATCAGACTCTTTGTAGCAAAGGTGACGAATGTGTATACATTGTCTAGAGGTACTCTACAAGACAAGGCGAGAATGAGGAAAGAGGAACGCATGCAACATGGCGATGCTGCATAATTTTGAACGGGATACACCGCATAAGGCTTAGATGGTGCCCGCCCTGGCGCCCTCGAGTCTGACGGTAGCCGCTGCACTCTCCTCTGCAGTCCTCCTGGCCTTTGCATCGAGTGCACCAAGCATGAGCGTCGTCTCGAGCCTGTTGGGCTCGCTCTTGAGCAGCTTTGCCAGCTTCCTCTCCTCTTCTCCCAGCGTAGGCAGAGCCGCCAATCCTTGAGCCACACGGGCAGCATTCTCTGTGCGCTTGCGAGCGATCGAGGCTTCGAGCTTGGTGCGCTCCCGGGCGAGCTGGCGGGACTGGAAGCCCACGTTGCCGGCTTCGCTGAGGTAGTCGTCTACCTGCTCCAGTGTCTGCTCCAAGGCAGACGACAGGACGGGGGTGTGGGCGAGGGCTAGGTTTGTGTAGGCTGGCTCGATAGCCGATCGCGGCGGGTGGGATAGAAGCGAGGAGCTCGAAGGGGGGAGGATGGAGGGTGCAGGGGCTGATGGCGTTGAGAGGGTGGAGATGAAGGCGTCCAGGAGCGCAGTGTTGTGGAGAGAAAGGGGCAGCTCGTGGAAGACCGAGGAGGAGGTCAGGCGATGGTCAATCAGACCCTTTGTGGTGAAGTCGTTGCTCTTGTAGGCAGCAACGAATTCAGAGGAGAGACGGTAGGCTTTCACCACTGTGTTGCCTTGAGCGGACTGCGCCAGGTCTAAAGGAGTCAAGTTGCCATCTCGTCAGCCCTTGGTCGTCATTGGTCCCGAAAGGCCCACTCCGCTCCCAGCGCATACGACTTACCATGCACGAGCACCACGGCCCTCTCCATTCCGTCTCCACCCTTGGCACTAGCAGCTCCCTCCTTGTCCATCAAGTTTCCAACGAGCTTCAATCCCTCCAGCACCTGCGAGGTGAAGATGGCTCCCAATCCCAAGAACGACGAGACATAGATTCCCACGGGGTTGGCATCAGCATTCACGGACGACAGCAGCGAGAGGGCAGTGGTAATATGGCGAGTAGCAGATGCATTTGACGAGCCAGCAGAGGCAGCTGCGTTACCGCGCTCATCGTTCGAGTCGTCGCTCCTGAGAGCGTTCCGCGGCAGACCAAAGAGGTTTGTCACTTCGAGAGCCCCCTCTAGATTGAGACCGAGAAGTAGTCCAGTAGCTGTGGAAGGGTGGGCATCCTTGGAGTGCTTCACCAGCTTTGTGAGGGCGAGACCGTCCAGGCGGATCGAGGTAGGGGGGCCAGAGGTGAGAGACAGAGCCAGGGCGGCAGCGTCCAAGTCACCAGACGAGGCCTGAGCTGTCGAGCCAGGTGCAGCGGAAGAGGCAGGCTTGGCCACGGCGGCAGCGGCGGCGGCAGAGGCAGAGGGGCGAGACATGGTGTTGGAGTGAGTAGCGAGGCGAGGCGCGAGAAGAAAGCGTCGTGCGAAGGAAATGCATTTTCGACAGACGCAGCCTCGGAGCCACGGCCAGAGCCCACGGCCAGAGGAGGGCCAGATCTCGGAGCCGAGACAGAGCGGCGGACTTTCCACGACATGGCCTTAGCACACCGCTCACTCCACCCAACACCACACGAGGCAGAGGAAGCACAACCGTCACCACCCATACCACTGCTGCTACCGCATCTCCTCTCAATCCATCATCATGGCTCTTGCTGCACCTCTTCGCGTAGGGCTGGCTCCCTGCTTTCGTCTTCGTAGCGGATTCTCTGTGCCCCGGCAAGTCCTGAGGAATGCCTCGACGTCCTCGCAGCGCGGTTTCCAGGCCCACAGCCGCACTGCTGTTCTCAATGCCGGACCACGCCCGGGAAGTGCCAATGCCGGCAGCAAGGGCTTCAACTGGTCTCTTTTAGCCGGGGCCGCTTTTGCTACTACTGCCTCCGCCGCCATGGTCTCCCGAAACACCATCCACTGTGGTAAGTATGCGCGCCACGCAACTGGTGTTGGAGTGCTATGCTACCCGCGCCCTTGCGCCACCAGCAACCTGCCTCGCCATGTACAGTCACACTGACGCTGTCCTCTGTCCTTTCCACCGTGCTTCTTGTTCCCTCTATAGATGCCACTAGCTCCTCTGCCCTCGATCGCTCTTCCTACACCGGCTTGAGCGGCTCGAATGAGCCCGCTCCCGAATCCATCGTCAATGTCTACCAGCTCTCCTTCGGCGTCGTCTGTGGAGTGTGTGCGGGCGTCTTCATCAAGAAGGGTCTCAAGTTCATTGCCTTCCTCCTCGGTGGAGGGTTTATTCTCCTACAGTACCTCAATTCACAGAAGCTGGTAAGCGTCAACTGGGGTGGAATCAGCAAGAGGTACGATGGACTGGTAGGGAGTGTTGCTGGACCGGGAGAGAAGGTCAAGGGTTGGCAGGGATCGACGGCTGGTAGAATCTACACCAGATTCGAGGACTTCCTCACTGCTAACTTCCAGGAGAGGGCAAGTCTCCTGGCCGGTCTGGCATTGGGCTTGAGACTGGGATAGAGGCGAACATTTGCGGATAGAACTTAGCACGGAAACAAGCAATGTACAAAGGAAATCGTCTACACAATGCAAAGCGTTACAAGTATAAGTAGTCTGGCTGTCGTCCTTAGGACGCATCGCTGAGGACCCATGGTAGCGTCTCCTCGACCTTGCCAATGAATTCCCAGTCTGCCTGCTCCTCGCCAGCTTCTACATTGAACACCGCGACCCTTCCGCCCTGCCTCCTGACTTGGCTCGCGAAGCCAGCAGCCGGGTAGACTGTGCTGCTGGTCCCTAAGACCAGCAGGAGGTCGCAGCGCTCTATGAGGTCTTCGATGGAGTCTAGCAAGGGGATCGATTCACCAAACCATACAACCGCGGGGCGCAGTAGACCCTTTGAGCCATCTGATTGTACGGCCATTTTACTACCTGAATTTTGACAGCTGGGGAGAGGGCAGTGGGGTAGTGAGGACAGAGGCAAGTTCTCGATTGGTCTCGAGAGATCCTCTGTCGCACGTAAGGCAGGTGCGATGGGGGATTCGAAATTGTCCGAAGTGTCTTTGCAGGAGAGACAGCGGGTGCGGAAGAGAGACCCGTGCCTTGATCATTTGGAAATGCGGGGCGAAGCAGAGGAGCAGCGTGGGCAAAGCTGTCCAAAGGTCAGTGACTCCGACGAGTCTCGTACAGGCGCAATCAAGAAGTGGGTGCCACCGGAAATAAGCTCCACTCCTGGTTACTGCAACTCACATTTCGACTGGGTCAGGTGGACTTACGCCCGTCTGCTCCTCGTAAGCAATATTAGCTCGCTTGGACAAACCATCGACGCTATAGAAAAAAGGTGCAGATGCACAAGCGAGATGCACAGTGCAAGTCTTCGTCAGAGTTTGCTGCTCCATGCCGCACGGCTGCTACCCCGCGCCTAAGCTCACTTCTGCGTGACTAGTCTAAAGCTTCCTTGGCCATGTGGCCCGATAGCGGCGCCTGGGAAGATCTTTCGACTGCCCTCTTCTGTGCTCAACCAGCTCAAGGCGTGATGGGCTGAGTTCGGTTTCGCCTTGAGACAGAGTTCCCGTCTCCAGTGATAAAACTGCCACACTTGAGATGGGTTGGCGCGAAAGGCTTGTGGCGTGGCTAGCGACAGTGGGTCATGCTGACGCCAGAGTGAGGCTGGACCACTGCCTCTAAAGGTGGGGACTGTGCAGGGGTGAGGGTCATGCAGGATGAATGAGTGTGCGCCCTAGATCGAGGAGTCCTGCATCACTCACTCCCACTGGCTGCCGAGAGACCCGCGCCGGCAAGGGCGAGTGGAAAACGCGCTTGGGTGCACGCGTGACGGAACGCGACTCGAAAATGCGTCGGCAGCGAGCTCGGGGCGTCGGCCGAAGACAAAGACATGACCGACGGATCGGAGGCTTAGCAGCGGCCGAAAGAGGCAAGATGTTCAAGGGGCGAAAAGTCTAGCAGTGATCTCGGTGGGTGGCAAGGGAGGGCGCGAGTCAAGGGATGCAGTGCAAACTTGACTCGATGGCCAGATCAAGGGACTCTTGCGCCCAGGACAGGGGGTCCAAGGGTCCAAGGCGGACGGGGTCTGTAAAAGAAAGCTCGGTTCCTGCACCGTCAGCAACTCAGCATGCCGCCGGGGGGTTTCACGCAGGAAGGCGGGGACGAGCGCAAGAGGGAGCAAGCCGCGGCGATCGAGTGCGGCGGTGGCTACATGACAGCTGACTCAGATGTCGCGTCTACCTGCTGGCCATGTGCCTTGGCTGCTGCGCCACCGCTGCCGCCCAGCCATCTTCCCGCCTCATCAAGGGCGGCCTCTGGGGGCATGTGAGACGCCTTGGCCGCGCACTCGGGCATCAGAGCAGAGGAGGATACAGCCACCGCCCCTTCCCGGCCTTCGGATTGGGGGGCGGCCCATTGTCGCTCCCGATCGTCGCGGTGCTGCGCGCGAAATCCGGATCGCCATTTGCCACTGTCAACGCCTGCCAGTGCACCCCCCCCATGGCCACCAGCTTATGGCCCACAAGGGAGTCACGGTCACCTTGACCCCCCAACATCATCAACCATTCATACTGGCAGCCGATAATCGCTCTGCACACACAGTATTGGTTCACACGTTTCTCACTCGCGCACTCTCAGTCGCCTTCCTCCTCTCCATTCATCATCTTCGTCGATTTGCGCACCTAAATCGGCAACACTCAAAATCCAGTAGCCTCTAAGTCCCTGCCTGGTGTAGGAGCTGCCAAAGAGACTTATTCGACCAATTCAAACGGCCGCTTCCAAAGCTTACACGCTTGGAGCGGACGACTCAGCTGACGGCTCAGTCCTCCAAGGATACTACGTTGAACGAGATATAAGTGCTGTCCCTAGGCTACAGCCAATCTCTTCACTTCGTCTACTTCTCTAGACGACACACAGTGCCTTATACGCGCCACTTCATCCTCCTTCATCGATCACATTCTCACAAACTCTTCATCCTCGCTTTCACGATGATGTCCGGCTACTCTGACAGTGTCGTCGCTGCGTCTACTGCTGAGGCCTCGGCCAAAGCTCAACCTCATCTTCTGAGGGTTCTGATCGTCGACGACAACGCGGTCAATCTTGCGGTGTTGGGCAAGCTTCTTCGAAAGAACTTCTCTCACCTTCTCGATAGCCCCCCCGTCGCCGTCGATTCGGCGCTCAAGGCTCTGCAGCTTCTGCAAGACAATGTCTACGACCTCATCCTCATGGACATCCAGATGCCCTTCCTCTCTGGCGTCGACTGCACACGCCGCATCCGCCAGGGCATCGACGGCGTCTTGGCTGCCAACAGGCAGACGACCATCGTAGCTGTGACTACCGCTGTTGGCACCGAGCCCGAAGCTCTATACCGTCGCTCAGGCTTCGATGGCCTCATTGGCAAGCCGGTCAAGTCTGAAGCAATGACAGAGCTTCTTGAGCCATTGCTGGCAGCGGCCCGCGAGGCTGCACCTAGTGTTGAGACTCTCACTATCAAGGGACAGGCTGTCACACCGCCTCTCCCCGTAGTACCCATCACAGGAGAGCGATGCTTCTTCATCCCTCAATCATCTGGCACCGACAGCGCTAACAGCACCGCGCCTTCCATCACCGAGACGCGCAACTTCGAGGCGTTGCTCAAGGAACAGACCAGGATCTCGCTCTTCCGCTATGGGGCCTGTGCCATCGCCCGTACGAACTCTGCCGCTGGCGTCTCGGACCGTCGTAGGATTAGAGACTACGACATCGAATCCTCATCCTCTTCGCCGTCGATCGGCTCTTCCGACGACGAGAAGGTCAGACGTGGGGCGGATGCAGATGTTCATGAAACGATGGCAGAAGACACGGACTCGTCTCGCGTGCGATCATCATCGAGCGGTCCCAGTCCAAAGTGGTCTCGCGCTGGCCGCGGCCATTCCATCACGATCAGCCAAAGCGGTCTCAACGAGCAAATTCATCGTGAGATGCAAGCTGCCGATATGCATGTGCCCAGTCAACGCGTCCGTCAGCGACCCCAGCCAGCGAGACTCAGTGCACCTATGCTCGTCTTCCAGCGACCATCTCCGGACAAGGCACTGGCAGGATTTGATATGACCACCGAGGATGCCACTGAAGACGAAGAGGAGAGCTTCGCCGTTGATGAACCTCTGAGTCCCTTCAGCCACTTTGGTAACAGCGGCAACGGCAACATGACATCGCAATTGTTCGCAAGTCTTCAACAGAGAACTCAGCAGCAGCCGTCCCCTTCAAAGTCTCGCAGTAGCCCATCGGCACCGTTTGGTAGTCGTTGGACAGGCAACGTCTACGGTGTCACCAGGCGCTCCAGCAGCATGGGTGGCTCTGCGTCGTCAGGAGATTCTTCTTCGCCAGGCTCTGGTGCATCTTCATCACGATCTGGATCCTTGGCGATGGACTTTGACGGCGAGGGTACCACTCCTCTGACTACGCCCGACAATGAGTCCGCTCACTTTGCTTTGGCACCCATCGACGAGCACAAGGTTGGATCCGCGCTCGATTCACTGCCGAGTCCGCTCTCGTCGCCCCACGACGAGGGGAAGCTTGAGTACCCTATGGTTGGCAGAGGCGGCAGTGCCACCTTGCCTCGCAAGACTAGTCCCTGGCGACCACCCTTGGAGCGACAGACTGCCACGCGCGATGTCGTGACGGTCGCTAAGGTCCTTCACGACCAGTTCAAAGACTTCCGCCTCTAGTTCCAGCATCCTCGCGTGGCGACGGACCCATGTAGCCTTTGCGCACACTCATCGATCATCATCACTCTCCATATGCGGCGTCTCGCAAAGTCTTGCGTTGATTATCGTGTCTTCACAGCATCAAGCTCTCCAAGGGTCTCTTTCCCCATCTAGGCACTGAGGCTCTCTGTTTCTCTGCAGTCATACCGTACTTGTCACCAGTCTCGCGCATATATTTACCCTTTCTCGTTGCACCACTCTATATCGAATAGCGGAGTCTTTCGTTCGTCTGCACCCGTCGTCGTCTCCATGGGCTTCCCTTTGGATCTTGGTCCCCCTCTTGTCATACACGTCACACTTCTCCAGGGCCAGGGCTCGGGATCACGGGCAGGGTCAGCGCTTGGGCTACCCTCTTCTTCTGTTTCTCTTCGTTATGTCACCTGAAATATCAGCATATATACGCGCATCTTTTCGTTCCGACGTTTTTCGCAGTCGTAATAAGTTACCGTACCTTTTCCCGTAGCCGCAGCCCTATCTGCCCTCGTCGATGGAAGATGAAATTGAAAATGCTATCGACTTCTTTACTTTGCTGACGTCTTGCACATCTGCCAGACCAAGTGCTATCCAAACGGTTGTCCAATCTCTCGCCACGAAGGTGACAAAGGTCGCGCGAGCTTACTGCCTAACCTGAGAGTCTTGCTGGGTCTATGAGGCGCGTGTGCAAAGTCATTCATCCATTTGTCCTTCTTCTTGCGACTGATAGGACTGGATGGCGAGTCACCATCACTGTACTTCGATTCTGCGTCAGCGGTGTAGCCCTCTTCACGATGTAGTTTCCGGGCTTTGTGACCATCCGCGTGCTGCACAATCTTGCTTGGACTGCTGAGGGGAGCTGTTCCGCTGCCGCCGAAGTAGTAGCGAGCCATCTGACCAAGCTGCGGTGAGACGGGGGACGAAACCGAGGTATCTCCAGAAGCCTCGCTGTCAGCGTCGTACCCTTTGCGCTTGCGCTCAAGACGAGCCGCCCTCTTGCCCTCGCGATCGATGGGAGCTTTGCCTTTGCCGCTGTCCTTGGTCTCCTTACCACGCCTTGACTTTGCCTCGTTCTTGCTTTCGTAAAAGGTGGGCTCCTCCAGGCCTCTGCTTTCCAGTGGCAGTGCGCTGAGCTGAGTAGTGTCGAGGAAGAGATGGGGACGGGTTTGCAGAGCACGGTCGATACTGTACGGAGGATGCGTCCCGTGGCTCGTGGCAGTTCCGACGCTACTGTCATGTGAAATGGAAAAGGCATGTGTGCCTGATGATGCAAGAGAAACGACAGCCGCCAAAGGACCCCACAACAGCCAATGAGAAGGTAGAACTCTCATGAACAAATAGTGCGTGGATCCAGTACTGCTGAGGGGAGTGGAGCGAGATATGACGAGCTATGTGCAACAAGAGGAAAGGGTGCCAGCACCGATTGCAAGTGACTGGTCGACAGACAAGGAGCGTGTGAGCCTCTTGAATGATATCTCTTGGCACCTACTCCGTTCACACTTGCCGGCTGTATACCGGAATTTCCCGCAACACCGCCATTTCTCCCGAGTATACGGATGGTAGGTATCTCGTCCCGATGATTGCTGTCAATGAGAGGCCGCAATTGCTATCAGTGAGATCTAAGCGAGCAGCGCTTAGGGGGCTGCAACCGTACGTTTTATCCATAAAGTCTTGGCTAGACGAAAGCTGCAACACCGCGGCTAAGTGTCTCTCCCGCGTACCCTTCAAGCGGCAACGCGATTCAAAGCAGCAACATATTCAGCCGAAACCCGTTCAAGGCAATACACGCAACGTCGCCGCAACATCAATATGTACCTCAAATCCTTTGCAATTGTGACAGTCGGTGACATCATTGAGCATTGAGCTACAGAGTAATGACTTTAGCGTAGTTGTCTCCAGCCCACTGGGAGAGCTGTTCACTCTTTACCTGCACGCCAGAGGGGTGTCCTACTCCACCACCAAAGACGATCGTCTGCTTCTCTGCCTTGTTGCCCAAGGCTGCGAACAAGGTATCCAAGCCTCCCTTGAAGGAAGCCGGCTCGGTGGTGCCGCTGCTGACCAGGACGCGTCCGTATGGCGATGTGAATTCGATGCCGAAAGCGTCACCAGATGCCACCAGAGCTGCTTCGCCATCGTGCAGCTCTTCGGTGAATGTCTGACCATCGTCAGCCGACTTGACAGTGAGCTTGACTGTACCATCGATGACTCTCAGGTAGGTGTGAGCAGCCTCGAAGCTGACAAGCTGTGAAGTGCTTCCCAGGTAGTGGTCCTTGAGGAGACAGCTGCCCTCCAGCCAGCCAATGGAGAACTTGCCACCCGTGTTCCTGGCCGCCGCGATAGTCTCCCATTGTTGTCCGCCGAGGAAGTAGCGGTCTCCTGTGTCGGCCTTGAGGAAGTAGGGCTTCGTCTCATCGGGCAGCACATCCGCGTCGGTGAAAGGCGTGGCGTCCACCAGCTTGTGACCATGAGCCGGTACTACATCTGCGCCTTCCTTGATGGCAGCAATGAACCTCTCGACTGGAAACGGCGCTTGATCGTCAGAAGGGAAGGTGACGATGTTCTGGTCCTCCGTCACGGGGTTACCAATGTACTTGAACAGGCCTTCCCAACCTCCAGGCGTGATCAGACCGAAGAAATCGTTGAAGGCGGCGCCCCTTTGCGCAAAGGTATGCACATAGCCAGGAGGAACGGAAGCGAAGTCTCCAGGGTATAGAATTCGGCTAGTGTCTTCACACCAGACTTGAACCGCGCCTCGAAGACAGAGCCAGGTATCGTGAGCTTCACGGTGAGAGTGCGGCACCACTGGCGCAGTCGGACCTCCGGTGGTCACTGCGATGGCAAAAGCGCCATCAGTCGTGTCCTTGCCAGCTGCCAGGCGAAGATTTGACTTGCTAGAAGGAATGACGAAGCTCTCGCCGGACGCTTGCGACAGGATATAGGATCGGCGAGGTGCCTTGAGTGGCCCTTGATGGATCTCAGTCCTGGGAGTGAGGCGGAGAGAGTTTGACGACATGCTGGCGTGGAGATCGAAAGACTCTGTCTTCAAGTGCGCTTGATCTGACGGTGGTATGCTTGTATGGATAGGTTGCAAGGGAAGGTACGAAGCTCTCGAAGTCTTTTAGGGGCATCGACCCCGGACCGAAGCTGCATTCTGGCAGAGCGAAGACATGCAGGCGGGGCAGGGGCCTCGGCAGCCGGACGCGAGCCGCTCCACGCCCGGTACCCCGCACGAGCGAGGCCGGAGTGGTGGGGGGAGATTCCCGCCACCCCCACATACCCGAAGGGCTAGATTCTGGCGGGGGACCCACATACCCGGACCCTCTAGTCTACCCCACACGGAATGAGACGCTGAGTCTCCGCACACCGCTAATTGCCATGCCCCCTGGGCCAACTACATTCAATTTTAGCCCGAACCCTTTCCCACACATCCCTTCCTCACCTCGTCTACATACACGATGGCTTCTACTACCGCCTCAGGCATCCCGCTGGACACGTCCGCTCCGACGCCGGAGGTGGTCATGGCTACAATGAAAGCTCTTACGCCTTCACAGATCAAGTCACAGAAAGAGGTCATGGACCGGGGAACGGTATCAGTTCGCGAGTTCAGTTGCGGACCTCACGAGCGAAACAAGCTTGATTTGTACCTTCCTACGGCTTCGACAGGTGGAAAGAGACCCCTCGTTCTCTTCGCCTTCGGGGGCGGCTTTGTCAATGGAGACAAGAGAATGCCGCCTGCCCAAGGCAGCATTTACTTCAACGTGGGCAGCTACTTCGTGGAGCAGGCAGGGCTGGCCGCCATCAACGTCAACTATCGCCTCTTCCCTTCGCATGGTGCAAAGTATCCCTCTGGGGGCGAGGACGTTGCTCTAGCGCTAAAGTGGTTGGCTGAGACCGACGATGCCGAGGTCAGAGAGAAGGTGGATCTGAACAACATTTTCCTCTTCGGAACGTCTGCGGGCGCCTTCCATCTGGCAACGTATCTCTGGTGTCCCCAAGAAAAGAAGACTTGGGCTCCAACTCCGTCAAATCTCAACGTCAGCGGGTTCCTCTGCTGGAATATCCCGGCACATTTTGCCAGTGCCGAGGCCAGCAGGGCACCCATACTCAAGGGCTACTTGGGAGAAGACCTTGCTGCAAACGATGCTGTGACCATGAGGAGAAGCTCAGATGACAAGACTCCCGCACTCGTCGCCTGGAGTGACCACGACATGCCGACGGAAATTATTCAGCCTGTAAGTGCCGAAGAGGCACACTCGAGCGTCACTTTTGCCAATGCTGACAGAGGACCCGCGTCCCACAATCCTTCGCATCTCCTCATTACAGATTCAGGACCTGCTCAAAGTGTGGTCTTCCTTGCCCGAAGAGGTCCCTCGCCCGGAGACACTCGTCATGGAAGGACACAATCATTTCAGCCCAGCAATGGTGAGTGACTGAATGACGCTCGTTGCCTTACCTCCAGTGCTGCCAAACACGCTTGCTCATTACACAACTCCATCTTTCCTTGTCCCAATAGGCACTCGGTCTAGGCGGACCGGATGATGCATGGACTGAGAATATGGTAGCTTGGATCAAGAAGACAGCAGGGCTGTGAAGGAAAAGGATAGAGATGTGTGACTGGCATTTTCTTTACAATCTTATGTCACATGGAAAGCAAACGAACAGGCAATGTAATTAATCTAACAATGACACGATGAGGAGTTCCGTTGAAGTACTGTGTCCAAGTCTACAGCCATGTGATGGTATCCTTGACTTCAATCTCGAAGGGAATCACGTGAGCGTCGGCGGGGTCCGAAGAGTGAGCTACGACGAACTTATGTGTGCCACTTGCAGCGTTCCATTGCGCCTCAGTGACTTGCCATCTAGCTAGGGCTTGACGGTCGATGTCCAGGGTCACTACCTTTGTCTCTCCAGCTGGTACGTCCGAAACGTCAGCAAAGGCCACCAATCGGCGCGGTTCGGCTTGTGTAGACGTTCCCACGTTGTAGACCTGCACGACGTGCTTGCCGCTGCGGGAGCCGGTGTTGGAGACTGCAACCTTGAGAGTGACCGCGGATGTTGCTTCACTTGTCAGCTCGCCCGACTGAGATGCGATCTTTGTGTCAAAGGTAGTGTAGCTCAGTCCTTGTCCGAACCAGAAGAGGGGTTGGATCTTCTTCTCCTCGAACCATCTGTGTCCGTAGAGGGTTCCCTCCTTGTACTCTACTGGGGCTTGTCCATGCTTCTCCTTGTCCACGTGCTCCGAAGTGGGGAAATTGCCGAAAGACGGATGATCCTGAATCTTCTTTGGGAACGTCATTGGCATCCTTCCTCCTGGCTCGCACTTGCCGAGAAGAACGTCAGCAATCGCGTTGCCAGACTCTTCTCCGCCGAACCAGGCTTGGACGATCGAGCCGATGCCTTTTTCATCTGCCCAGGGCATGGCGACCGCTGTGCCAGAAGCATTGACAACCACTGTACGTCCTGGAGCTCCCTTGCCGACAGCCGACACAAGGTCATTCTGACGCGCTGGGAGTACAATGTCCTGCCTGTCGTTCCCTTCTGACTCGTACTCAGGACCAGTGCCGGTAAAGACGATGGCGACATCTGCCTCGGCAGCAGCCTTGACAGCCTCCTGGATGACAGCATCGGTGTCGACGGCCTCTGCGAAGCCGAATCGGAAGGCTTGCTTCTTCAGCGGCAGGTGGCCAGAGACTGAGGCCGGGGTGCGGTATTCAAATGTGACTGTGGCGGCCTGTCCAGCAGTCATTGACAATGTATGCTTCTCGCGCAGCTTGGCGGGATTGAACATGAAGGTAGGCACATCGATCTCTCCCTGCTGCTTCCACTTTGCCAGCGATCCGGAAGCATCTGAGACCGTGACATTGCAGGTGCCAAAGCATTCGAGCGAGATTTGATGATCGCCGCTGGTGGATGGAGTGATATCGAAGCTGCCTCGGATGGCCACGAAATCCGTATCTGGCTGGTACCCGCCCAGGAAGCCATGCAGCTGTGGAATCTCATGCTTGCTTGTGAAGAAAGCTTTTGGCTCGATGGCACCGGTGGCAACCTCGTATCTGTGCCAAGTAAAGGACAGAGCCTTGCCTCCCAACTGCTCCGTCGATGGAGCACCAAGATGTGCGCTGAGCTTGCAGCCCTGATGCCACTCGATGGCAACGTCAGGGAGGGCATTCTTGAAAGCTTCCAACGCAGAGATATACTTGTATGCTGGCATGCTTGCCGAACCGCCTCCGGCACTAAGCGGATACTTCGCCGGCTCTCCGATTAGGACGATCTTCTTCACCTGCTTCTGATCGATAGGCAGCAGTCGCTCCTGGTTTTTGAGAAGCACGCAACCTTCTGCACCAATCTTTCGAATTTCGGCGTCGCGTTGTACGTCTTCAGGGGAGCGGGCGTCCTTGTCTTGCGTCAAATCGTCTTCAACGAAGAGTTTGGAGCCTTTGCACACCAGCTTGGCGAGACTGATCATTTCGAGTATCTTGGTGGCACGCTCGTCGATGGTCTCTTCCGTGAGATCACCGGAAGCGAGCTGCTTCTTGACATTGTCAAAGCGACGGTGGACAGGGCCGCCGGGCATTTCTAGGTCAAGGCCGCGATTCAGTGACTCGACACCTTTGTATGTTCCGAACCAGTCGCTCATGGTGGCACCCTCCCATTTCCATTCCTTGCGTAAGACTTGCTTCAGCAGGAATTCATTCGATGAGCATGGTTCGCCATCCACAGAATTGTAAGCCATCATGATCGAGGCTGGTGAGAGCTTGCCTCGCTTCTTGAGGTCCCGGATGACGAGCTCGAACGGGCGCATGCAGACTTCGCGGAGGGCTGCGGGCTCACACAAGACATTGCTGGATTGGCGAGCGGTTTCGCATTCGTTGGCCACAAAGTGCTTGAGGGTAACGAGCACACCCGACTTGTCTTGGCAGCCACTTGTCCAACGGGATGCCATCTCTGCAGTGAGAAGAGGATCCTCTGACAGGCACTCAAACCCACGACCGTTGCGAGGATCTCGCACCATGTTGATCGTGGGAGCCAAGGCAAGGTGGACGTTCTTGCTCCAGCCGTCCTTTCCAATGCCTTCTCCCATCACCTCCGCTGTCTCGCGGCTCCATGATGCTGCTAGCGCGGTGGTGCATGGGTACAATGCTGAGCCAATGACAGGCTGATTGCTGAGGTTGAACGGGAAGCCCAGAAGAATGTCGAGCCCGACATTGCCACCCCTAATGCCATTGGGCCCGTCCGAAGTCTTCAGACAAGGCAGGCCTAGGCGAGGCACTCCAGATGTGCGACCAAAATCAAGGCCACCTAGGAGATGGACTTTTTCTTCAAGAGTGAGCTGAGGGAGGAGCTCCTGAGCTCTTACTTTGGCAAGCTTCTCCAGAGCCCGCGCATCGCTGGGGGACGGTGTCACTGGAGCTACGAGATCGGCGACTTCCAGTGCCATGTCTGACAATGCTCGAGGAGTGCTCAGATGCGGGACCGTGATTAAGTGGCGAACTTGGAAGCGGCAAAGTGTTGTCGGAATGAGTCTATTGATGTTGGTTGAAAGTTGTTTGCGAAATATTTGTGTGAGTTGTAGGGAGAGTGAAGGAAGACAGATTGTCAGCAGATAAAGGAGAGGCCAAGAGAGTAGTACCGGCACGGAAAGGACAAGCTTCGGAAGTCGCAACTTTGCCCGGGCCCCACATGTCGACCCACATCGGCCCCACTTTTCCTCGGAGACCCCGCATCAGCAACGTGCGCTCGGCCAGCCGCCTCGTCTGCCGGAGCCGGTGGGTCGATGCGGAGCAACTCCTGATGGAAGCACGCTGGGAGCAGACCCGGCGCTGCAACGGCAACCCGGCTGAGCCACCATCTGGGTGTGGCGGTGTGTCTTTGTCCTTAGCTCCGGCTGTTTTGCCCGCCACCAGGATCACGTCGGCACCTTGAGAGTGTAGGTGCGGGTAGCCCCACTTCGGCCCATCCCGACAGCCGGTGGCTTGACAGGCCGAGGCCAGTCTCTCAGCCCGGGTCTTGCCCTCGTACGGCACGGGGTATGTCTGCAAAAGTGGTCAGACCGGCAGGCATTGCGGGGCAAATTGGAGACCCCACTCATTCATTTTGGTCTGATCGTACAGTATCCGACTGCTAGCGAACACAGACCCCACATGCCCCACTGCTACCCCACATCGGCAGACGCAATTTCTGCACCTCATCGAGCGTAAGCCTGCCGTAAAGGGAGCAAAGACCGATCAGCATTGTTGACTATAAAGGTGCTGCCCCCCGCACTGCCATTGGCTCTGATCCTTCAGCAAGCAACAAAGGCTATATCCTCTGCCCTCTTCACTCTCCTTCTACGTCTTCACCCTGCCTTGGCACCTATCCTCTGCCCCTTCACCTTTATCCTCACACATCATCTGGCCCTCCTATCCCCTTCTGCCCAAGGTCATCCACAAGCCATTGCTTCATCATGGGTGGACTAACACACGTCGATACTCGTCAGACTGCGGTCCCAGGCGCGCACAGCGAAAGGCTGTGGATCTTTGACTCGGGCCTGAGAAGTGAGTAGTTTAGATTACATTGTTTCACCTGAACCTGGATGATTGCTGACCATGCAATCGGAATCTCCTTGGTCGCCCTCAGGAGTCAACGCTTGGATGTTCCTCTCGATCCTTTCGTCCTTTGCCAGTGGATACGACGGAAGTTTCTTCACCGGTCTCCTCACCGTGACCAAGTTCTTCGTCGACTTTGCGCCCGAGAACGCGTCCAAGGTCGGTCTGCTCGGCACCTCTGGTGTCTTGGGTCTCTTGGTTGGACCATGGATCTCTCAATACTTTTGCGACAAGATCGGTCGACCCAGGACTATGATTATCGCTTCGGCCACTATGATCCTGGGTGGTGGTCTGTCGACCATCCACATCCACAACAACCCTGACGGTCTTCAGGCCATGTGGATTGTCGCTCGAGTCATCACTTCCATTGGTTCTGGTATCGGTCTCGTCGCTGCTCCTGCTCTCATCACCGAGCTGGCACACCCTCGTCACCGCGCCATCCTCGTCGCCTTCTTCTGGTGTGGCTTCTACCTTGGAGCCATCGTCGCTGCTGCTGTCACCTACGGCATGAACGGCTGGTTCTCCGACTGGGCTTGGAGGCTGCCATCTCTGCTTCAAATCGTTCCTGCGGCTATCCAGATGCCCTTCCTCTTCTTCTGTCCTCAGTCGCCCAGGTGGCTCGCCGCCAGGGGACGTGAGGCCGAGGCTTCTCAGCTCCTGGCCAAGTACCACGCCAATGGTGACGAGAGCCACCCCGTTGTGCTCCATCAGATGGCAGACATCCGCGATGTCATCACCCTCGACAAGGCCAGCGCAGAAGCGTCTATGCTCGACCTCTTCCGTGGCAAGGCAGCTCTTCGACGTGTCTGGGTCATCGTTGTTCTGTCCGTTGCCACTCAGTGGGTCGGTAATGCGCTGTTGACATACTACCTGCCTACCATTCTTGCGACCATTGGTATCTCGAGCACCCTTGAGCAGGCTCGCTTCAACATTGGTATTGCTGCCTTCAACCTCGTCGTCTCGACATTCTGGGGTTCTCAAGTTGAGCGCTTCGGTCGACGAACACTCTTCCTCTGCTCAGGCGTCGGCATGCTCATCTGCTACACCATCATCACTGCCCTCAGCGCCACGTATGCTAAGAACCCAAGCAACGGCGGTGTCGGCAAGGGTGTCATTGCCTTCATCTTCCTCTTCTACTTCTTCTACGACATGGCCCTCACTCCTTTGGCCATTGCTTACCCTGCCGAGCTCCTCCCCTACCGACTCCGTTCCAAGGGTCTCGCTCTCAACACCACCCTCATCGCCGTCGCCCTCTGCTTCAACATCTGGGTCAACCCCATCGCCGAGGCTGCCATTGCCTGGAAGTACTACATCGTCTTCATCGCCGTCATCATCATGTACCTCATCAACGTCTTCCTCTTCTTCCCCGAGACCAAGGGCAAGTCCCTGGAGCAGCTGGAGACCATCTTCGAGGGGCGAACCATCGTATTCCGAAATGGTACTGCCAGCGTCAAGCCTCGTGACTCCGAGGCTCTCCACCACACTACCTCTGAGCTCGAAGGCAACCTGGATTTTGACGCAAAGCACAGCGACGACGTCAAGATGTAAAAGCTGTGCGCAGAGAAAGGAAAAGGTCGATCTATGGAATCGTAGTGAAGGTGCATGCCGAGTACTTGTAGTTGTGTATACTTTGTCATTGTCGTATTGTTATGGGCCTCGTATAGTCTGACGGCTGCCAACAGAATTTAATCATTGTCTCCAACAACCTCATGTGATCGCCGCTAATTTGCGTACTTCTCGGGCACTTCTCAAGCCAACCACTCCTGCGCGACAGTTGAGGACGTAAAAATTCAAGACGCGGTCGTGCCAGACATACAAACAGAGACGGCCGACAACTCGGCGCATGCATTATGGCTGCTGCTCATCTGCAAAGAGCTTCGACAGTCCGCCTGGATTCCTGCCCGTCGGCTTGCCCTGTTTGACCTCCTTGGGCACAATCTTGATGTCACCGCCGCCCCGGGCAGACTGTGGGAGGGGCTTGAAGTACTGACCCCAGTCCTCCCAGACAGGCCTACCTTTGTGAAGAAAATCTGGCGTTGCAGGCGTCCGCGACTTCCTAGACTGCCAAGGCGCACGCGTGGAAGACGGGCTAGATGCAGCCCGCTTCAGTTCTTGCGGCTTGGGGGTGGCAACCTTCAGTCCTACTTCGGAGGCAGCTCGGGACAGCTTTCGAGGAGCACCCTTGAGAGACGGTGGAGGTGTAGCAAGCTCACCTCGTCGAGGCTTGCCGTTGCGCATCGGCGAAAGCGAAAAGGATCTCTGCTTCCTCAGTTCTTCCTTTTGACCGAAGTCGGTGCCCGAGTGGTCCATCGGAAACATGGTAGGCCACGATGGCTTGCTCGAAGAGGGCGCCGACCGCATTTTGCCAGGGATTTGCCCCCTTCTGAGCAAGCCCGTCTCGAAGGCCTGACGCCGTACAAGGATTCGTCTAGAGTCGCTGAGTTCAGTGGAAGGGCCATCGGCGGTGAAGACGTCGCGACTGTGTAGCTGCAAGTCCCTTCGATTGTTTTGCTTCTTGAACCACTTGCCCAATTTCCCTGCTTTCTTCCCCTGCTGTAGCACTGCTTTGGTCGCTCGATGCCAGGCACTTTTTCTCGAGGGTGAGCTGGAGCTGGAACTCGATGCCGTAGCCGTGTTGAGGCGATTGGAAGAGGCAGTGCCCTTGTGCTGCCACCAACCCACTTCTGGCCACTTGACACGTGCCGCGGAGTCGGTACGGCCGGGTCGCAAGAGAGGCCTTGTTTCCATAGGTATTTCGAACCATTTATCGCCTGCCTTGCTTTTCGGCAGAGGTGGATTTTCCTTTGAAGGGTACTCGGGTCCGCCAAGCCGTAGAAGAGGGACTGGATCGTCGGTCCGCGGTAAAATTCCCTGTCCAGAGATTCTGCTAGCCAGCTCGTCAAGAGACTTTGCAATCGCGCCAGTCTCGTCGGTACCGACAGCATCCGTAGCTACGCCGTGAGACAGCCGGTCCCGTACTGACATTGCCTTAGCTTGGCACGCAAGGAAGCAGCAGAGCGTTGCGCCCAACCAGGGGAGGCAGCTGGCGTGACGGACCCTCATTGTGCGCCAGCTCAAGCAACGTGCGGTTGTCCAGAAAACTGATGGGGAGCTGCTCTGCAGCTAGATGCAGGAGGAAGGGCGAGCACCAGGGTTGGTGGAAGTAATCTTCGTCAGAGGTAGGCAAGGCGTAAGGAAGACCCGCTTCGATACGCAGCAGAGGAACAAGGGGCGACGAATGAGTGAGAAACCGTGAGGTAATCCTTGGAGGTTCACAAGGGAGAACGAATCGAAGAGCTGATCTCGGAGACTTCTTATGTGTGTCGTGAATTTGCCGTTGCATCAGTCTTCCACCCCACATTTGCTCTCGCCGTTCACTTCTGCGCTTCGGCAAAGCAGTCGCATCGACCAATCGAATCAGCGATGTCTTTCCGGAAGGGAAGACAGCAAGAGTGACATTGGTTTGAGGCAAACGAATCGACTGTGGCCTGCGACGGCACTCCGCACCCATAGACTCACTCAGCAGCCGTAGATTCTCATCGTGACAGAATGTCCGGTCCGCTTCTATACAGGCTACCGCTGGCAGAGTCTTCGGAGACTATGTTGTCTTGCGTTCGCTCAGCTATGGATATGATACAATGTGCCCCGGACTAGAGATGCTTCCGTAGCCCCGGAGTATTCGTGTTCGACCCGTAGCCCTCGTTGCTTTTGCGGTCCTTGCGGGAGCAACCAAGTCTCTATAGACCCGTAAGATTGGTGACGTCCCATTACGGCTTGCGTAGGCAAAAGCTAGCCAGCGCCACGTCTGCCGTTCGCCCCAGGGAGGAAGTCCGTAAGGCCGAGCCTTTGGTCGCTGACAGCAAGACTCATCCGGTCTTTGTGCCACGATGACGCCATGCCTCATTCATTTGACCTGGTATGTTGTGTACTTTTGCAGCAATGCTACTTTGAAAGTTTGCGATGACTTTCAGGCTGTTCGTGCGGAAAGCGGGAAAGCGGTCGGGCAAGAGAGGCCGACTTGGCACCGCATGATGATTTCTTGCGATCACCAGGTCTATCACCAGACTGCTTGCTCTACCTAGCCTCCCTCGCTTCGTTGGCAATTGGGTTGGCATGAATGTCGATCTTGACGATGCGGCAAGCACTTCCACCGATGGCTCTGCCCTTTTCGTCTACTGGTAGTCCCTCCATAGCATCTAATGTCCCGCCATCTTCGGCGCCATCGATGACCTTGCCGAAGATGGTGTGCTTGCCGTCGAGGTGGGGCAAGGGGGCGTAGGTGATGAAGAATTGAGAGAGATTAGAGTTGGGCTGCGAAGAGGCCATGGAGAGAAGTCCTCGTGTGTTGAACTTCCAAGGGCAAGGGAGAGGGCAATGTCAGCTGGACGGTTCCGCCAGTCATTTGTTGGGACAACGGCTGCGGGGCGCAAGTGACGGCATACATGATTATCACAGGCTGCTGAGGCCTTCAACCTTCTTAAAGCAGACCTGTCTCTGGGGTTCTGATCTGTTCGACTCACCTTCAAACTGCTCCTGACCTCATCAGCAAACTTGCCACCGTAGATGCTCATGCCTCCCTTGCCATTATTGGACACCACATCGCCTCCCTGCACCATGAACCCCTTGAGGTTGCGGTGGAAGATCGTGCCATCATACTTGCCGCTGGCTGCAAGGGCAAGGAAGTTATTGCAGGTCTTGGGACACGAGGAGAGGAAGAGCTCTAGCTTGAGAGGTCCATGAGTGGTGTGTAGGGTCAAAGACATGGCAGGGGATCTAGCAGTATACAGGCGAATGGGGGAAAAGGAGCATGGAACCATGACGCGAAGGCAGGCGCGCGAGAAGAAGCGGAAGCGGAAGCGGAAGTGGGCTGAGGCGAGGCGAGTGGAGAAGAAGGATCTCGGAACGGCAAAACTTCCAAAAGACCCTACCGAAACTGCACTCATTACCTGGAAATTGGACCATCCGCATGCTTAGAAGCTACTTCGTCGTATCCAGATTCTCTCGTACAACTTCTGCAGTTCAAACATCCCCACGCTCTTTCTTCGCCTTGAACTTTCGCTTTCTTTCCACCTCGGCTACCATGTCTTCGTCCTCTTCCGCTCTGCCCATTTCCTCGCCCGAGCTCACCGTAGCTCTCTCTGCAGTGCTCAGGGCTTCGCTGGCAACGACACAGATCTTCAAGACGATTCCCTCTTCTTTGACGAAGTCGGACAAGTCGCCCGTCACTCTGGGAGACTTCGCAGCTCAGGCCATTGTTAATACCCTCATTGCAAAGTACTTTCCCGATGACGGCATCGTCGCAGAGGAGGAGGCAAGTGCCCTGCGTGAGGACGAGCAGCTGCGCGGAAAGGTTGGCGAGCTGGTCAAGATGGCTCTCGAGAAGGACGAGCAGTCTCTGACAGGTACAAAGGAGTCTGAACTGCCTTCTGGCAGCAAGAAATGGTCTGCCGAAGACTGGGAGCAGTCCGACCGCTTCCTCTCTGCTCTGGATCGTGGAAACTTCAACGGAGGACCCTCGGGCAGGTTCTGGGCCCTGGACCCCATCGATGGTACAAAAGGCTTCCTCAGAGGTGGTCAGTACGCCATCTGTCTGGCTCTGGTGGAGAACGGAGAGCCGATCCTGGCATGCATGGCCTGCCCTAACCTCCCCTACGCTGTGAGCGACGAGAAGCCCAAGGAGGGTGATCGCTCCGGTGTACGTGGAGACGGAAGTGTCTTCATCGCTGTCAAGGGCAAGGGAGCTTTCCACCGCTCGATTGCTCCGCCATCGGCTGCGTTCGAGCCCATCAAGATGAACTCGCTCTCTGGTGGTCTCTCATCGGCTTCCTTCTGCGAATCAGTAGAGGCCGGACACTCCTCCCAGGGAACCAATGCCCGCATCGCCGAGCTCCTCGGCATCTCTTCCCCGCCCGTCCGTATGGATTCGCAGGCAAAGTACGCCTCTGTGGCACGGGGAGACGGAGACATCTACCTGCGTTTGCCAGTAGGAGACGGGAGCTACGTGGAGAAGATCTGGGACCATGCGGCAGGTGCGCTCCTCTGTGAAGAAGCTGGAGGCAGCGTCAGCGACTGCTCCGGCAAGCGACTGGACTTTGGCAAGGGCAGGACACTCAGCGCCAACAAGGGTGTGGTGGTCGCTCTCAAGGGCAGGCATACTGAGGTCGTTGAGGCTGTCAAGAAGGCTTTGATCGAGGAAGGAAGGGGAAACCTCTTGGGTGAGCAGAAGTAAATCATGGGCGATAATGGCAGAGTTGGGGTGGTATAGTGGGCACGACGCCATTGCAGGATTCACAATGCAAGCAAGATAGAAGGCATGAGAAGCTCGCAACATGGATGTGGTGACATAAGCTTGTTAGCAAAGATGGGGTATAATGGATACTGTTACAATGGCACGCCTGATCTGCTTGCCGGTTCATGCGATCTCCCCCTCGCAAGCAGACTAGAGCCCGCTTCCCCTTCCTTCACTACTTCGCTGCGAGAGCATTGACTGCTACACTCTTGCCGGCAGCAGCAGCAGCCCTTGCTTCTACAATCTTCCTGCGACTTTCTTCGGCCGCTCGCCTCTTCGTTTCGAGTACTCTGACAGCATTCAGCGAAGCTGGCGTGCTCGGAGCACCCGGCCGCCTGGCTTGTGACTGTGCAGGTCTGGCGTAAGGATGGAATGAGGAGGGGCCTGTCGATCGCGAGGAGGTAGGCAAGGATGGAGTGGCAGCGGAAGAGCTTGCTGGCTGCGCTGGCTTTGCGCTCAAGGCGGGGACGGATGGTTTCGCGCTGTCGTGCTTGTGAAGACCATTGTAGACGCTTGGCAGAGAGAGCGCATTCTCCTTGCTGTGTGTCGGAAGCAGAGCGGACACAGACTCATGGTGTGCCTTTGCATCGGCAACTGGCCCCTTTCCTTTTGGGGCCTCATGTGCCATGCGGGGCTCACACACGTTTCTTGACCTATTCTTTTCATACAGCTTCGCGGCGTAGGGCTTTCTGATCGTCCCTTTGGAGAGTATTGCAGAGCCAAGTGATGAGCGAGGCTTGCGAACGACCAGTGCTGGCAGAGGCCGTCGACCAGAAGCTGTCTTTGTGTTTGCGTCTGATGCTGTCGCTGCAGGCGAGCTTTTTCGGGCGGTGGGCGCCGTATCAGCCTCGGATTTCGCTTCGGTCGTCACGCCGCTACTCGCGCCGTGCCTCTCAGTTCGGGTACCCTTGCCGGCAGCTCCTTTGCTCAGCCCGGTAATAAACCTATTCGACGACCCCTCCTCGACCTTCGCTTTCTTTTTGCGGCTACCTTCCTGTTCAGGTGAATGAGTGGACGAGGTCGACCGCCCCCTTCCTCCTTTCCTGCCCAGGCTCCAGTGCTCGGCGATACTACCGGTCTTGCTCCATTGCTTTTGGTGCGCTCGCTCGAACCTCTCGGCGCCCCTGGGTGCCGCCAAATCATTGCTACTTTTGCTCCTGATGAGAGACGATGCTGAGGGCGAGCTAGATAGCATTGGTCGCATCGAGGATGAGGTCAGTGTTGCTGGCGGTACACCTGAAGCCGCGAGGCGAGCATTGAGCTGCTGCAGAACGCTTGCTGAAGCCGTGAGCGAGCTTGATGAGGAGGCGGAAGTGCTTCCAAGCGGGCAGGTGAATGTGAATTTGGGCACGCTGTCATCCGTCGCCAAAGATTCCTGTTGGGCATTCTCGGCGCCCTCCGTACCTACAGAGGGCAGTGCTGGGTATAGGCCGGGGGAGGCCGTGCTTGCCTCCATTTTGCTGACTGGGAGCGGAGGTATATAGGCGAAGGTAGCAGGGGCTACGGACTTGCGAGGTAGACCAGCAAGTCTCCTCGGAGAAGAGGAAGAAGTGACTGCCGCTGCTTCCGCCGGCGCCATAGCTTCGCTGTGGCTTTGAGGTGAAGGTGAACGCTGGCGCTTGGAGGGAGAGGCATGCGGCGAAGTGACCGTGAAGGCCCCGGGCATCGTGCAATTAGCCTCCTCGAGAGACGCGACGCTCTCCGGGAGAGCGGCTTCTGGGAGGCGAGGTGTGGTAAGGCTGTCCCGAGATGGCTCGGCCGAGCTTGATGCAGACATTGAAGTGTCATCGTCTGTTGTAGCTGGGTCACAGCTGGCGGCCTCGTGACCGTTCATTCTCTGGGCCTGGGCGTCCATCAATTTCTCCACCAGGTCGGTATTCTACAGCAAGGACGATTGGGTGTCGAAGGAGCGGTGGAGGGGACAGACGAAGGTCAGCATGACGGCTTATGCTGGAGATCATTACAGACCCCTTCGACCACTCACCTTGCCTACCGCCTTGACATCCCATTGCTTGCAGAGCTGAACGAGAGCAGGTCTTTTGAGCTCGGTCAAGTCTACAGGTAGAGCTTCGGGCATGGCGGAGCAGTCCATGTTGGCTCAGAGGAGGCGCTCGATACTCAATGAGTCACACACCGTCTGTCGTTGTATAGATTCGATGTATGGCTTGGCGGGAGCACAAGGCGGAAAGGGCTCAAGTCAACATCTAGATTGGCGGCAGCCGAGTCCAACACCTCGGCTCCGCCGCGCGCAACGACGCAGGGGCCTCCCCTCCCCGCATGGCCACTGGTCAGTGCAGCAGCCGAGGCACCGTACGGCGTACAGCCCACTGCCACTGCCACCATCCACTCGATGCGGGCATGACGGTCCTCTCCTCGTCGGGTGAGACGCTGCCGCAGCGCATCGCACGAAGGGAAGCAGCAGTCAGGTCGCAGTGGAACGCCCTTGTCAAGGGACAGCATGGCGACTTCCAACAGCGCTGGCTCGCTTCTGCGCAAGCATCCTCTTCTTCCTCTTCATCGATACATACACCACTGCGATCGCTGCACTATGCCACGTCTTTGGCGACGATCGACCCGTCATCATCGACCTGGGCATCTCAGCTGAAGGAGAAACGCAATGACTATGCTCGAAAGCGGCGCAAAGTGCTCAGAGCGCCCGATGGTACGCTGCCCGAGGGGATCGAGGACGATCCAGCTGACGAACAGCAGGGTCGCCCAGCAGATTGGACAGTCAACAACCCCCTTAGCTTAGATGAGCAGGTGCGTATTCCTTGAGAGTAGGCGAATGCGAAGTCAGTAGGAACGAGGCTGATCACCAGACCTCTTGCCCGATTGCGATCATAGAATCCATGGGCTCTGCATCGCGCCTCTATGGAGCTTCTGCAGACCATAGAGACCGATGTATCTCGCTGTCTACCCGAAGTGGCGAGCCTGAGAGATATCTCCATACAGCGGTCACTAGCCCACCTTCTCTTCGTATGGTCCTCTCTGAATCCTCGAATTGGCTACCGGCAAGGCATGCACGAGCTTGCAGGCGTGCTATGGATCGTCCGAGAATCGGACAGTCTTACGCGAAGCAACAACGGCCAGTCCGACCCGGCAGGGGAAGTTCTGGACGAGCGCTACGTAGAGCATGATGCCTACGCGATGTTCAATGGGCTCATGACCAGGATAGAAGAATTCTATCAATGGCAGGCAGCCGAAACAAACTCTACGGGCTCCAACACGGCCCCGCCATACCAGCCTCCCATCCTCCAGCGCTGTGCCAACGTTTCCTCCAGCCTAAAGAGGTGTGACCCGCTCTTAGCAGCTCACCTGTTCTCACTTGGCATTGAGTCCCAGCTGTACCTCCTACGCTGGATGAGGCTGCTCTTCCTGCGCGAATTCTCTCTTGGAGCAACATTGGAGCTATGGGATGTGATTCTCAGTCAGCACGGTGGACCTCAACAGGACAGTCGGCTCGAAGCGGTAGATTGGATCTGCATTGCTCTGCTCCTGCGCATGCGCAATCGACTGCTGGTTGAAGATCAAGGAGAGGCGTTCCAGGCTCTCTTACATCCTTCTCAGACCGAGCAAAGCGACGAAGAGGACAAAGCAGAGGCCCACACGGCCACGGCATCTAGTTCTCGGTCGAGTCCTTCGCGGGCACCTGGCCGCTCTCATCATCATACACCTCTCCTCTATACCCAGTCACTCGCCTTACGAGCGAACCCGAATCCTCAGACGGGCGTGCAGTGCGTCTTTCAGAATGCAGAGCTGCTAGGCATTCCCATCGCGCCGCCTCCCATCAGCAGCGAACGGTCAGACACATCGCCAAATGCAAGGGTCAAGTCCGCAACACTGCCTCACGCTGCAAGGAAAGCTCGCGTCCCACTTCCGCTGACTCCCGACATGATCCCGGAAGGACTCAGTGAGCTAGCTCGGAACGTCTACACCAGCTATGCGTCTGCCAGGCCGGACTCTGCCTTCTTTGCGACTGCTCAGAGACTTGCCACTGCCTATGGGGCTGGCAAGCGAGCAGACGACAGTCGTGGCGACGGCGGAGGGTTTCCAGAGCGGTCTAGATTGGACGATCTCGAGAGGCGGCGCAGGGAAGGGGAGCGAGGCGGAGGCATAGTGCAAGCCCAGCAGCAGAGCGGGGACGAAGCTAGCAAAGGTACACCAACTGCCCCGGTCGCAGTGAGGGACAGAGACGGCAAGATGGGGGAGGCCCTGGCCGCTGTCATCTCTGCGCTCGAGAAGGACTGGCAAGGTGAGCAATCGCTGCCATCTCAGGAGGCTACTCCTGCTTCACCCGCCGCATCGCAGAAGCAGGCCCGCTACTTCTCAGCGCTAGCTACGCTCAAGCACATACGGGATGTTCTGACAGGCCGCGAGGCAGGATTCGACGAGGCAGGCATGAAGGCTACTCTTGCGGCTTTACAAGAGAGCAATGCAGGTGAAATCGATGGGACGGTCACGTTGAGCTCCAAGACAGACTCAAAATCAGCAAACGTATCGTCGACTTCACCAGCCTCGCGACTTGCTGAGTCGCCTGCCGAGCCTCCCTCAGAGGCCCATACCGAACCGTCCTTGGTGCAACAGCACGTCTCCACATCGCGTCCCCGCAATCCTCCACCCGCAAAGGCGCCTTCGCCTACTCTCCCTGCGCCAGCCAAATCAGAAGATCACACCGCTCGCCGACCTTCCACCCATGGCCAGGCACAAGCCGCAGTGCTTCAGGATTCCCAAAGGAGTGCAGCAGGCGGCGGGGATCCGCTTGGCGTCTTGTGAGACTTTGACGGCATTCGGCTCAACGCACACTTTCCAAGGGCGTTTTCCCAGAAGTTGAGCATGTGATTACATATAAGGTATTAGGAGAGGAAAACATTGCGCCTCCGAGCGTTTACCTGTACAAGACTCCTAAAGGGGCGTATGTGGTGACAATTGCAATAATGTACGATACGGTTTGCTGGAATGGTCTAAGGTCTAGTTACTTGGTGTGCATCGAAAGCAGCCGAGTGTGGCAGTCTAGTGTCATCGAAGAGGCTTACTTGGTTTTACGAGCCGTGGGAGGTGTGCGAATAACGCGAGGCAGTAGGAAACCCTTCCATGTCCCCTCGTCCGAAAATGTGTAGGCGTCTGGCGACACTCGTAGGGAGAGAGAGAGCAGTGAGGCCGAGCAGACGAGATGGTAGGCTCCATAGCCCGTGAGGATATGCCACCAGGCATGTCCCTCGAAGAAGATCCCAGGCACGTTTCCCACTCTTGCTCGAACCACCCTCAGACCCTCACACCAGATATTGTCGATGTTCCAGACTACAAAGCCGAAAATGAAGACGGCTGCGCCGAACCGGTAGCTTGCCCGGATCCGCTCGCGCTGCTCGGGTGCAGAGACGAGGGGCGAGCGCGAGGCGTAGAGGAGGTAGAGGACGCGCAGGGCGGTCGCAATTTGGATTGCGCCATAGGAGACTTGGTGGAGTACAGGGTTGGGTAGTGCTAGATACGAGACGGTGATCAAAACGGCAGTACCTGCTAGAAGGAGCGGTAGAAGAGGACCTCCGGTGCCCTTTGCGAGCGTCTCCCCAAGGGTCAGCTGACCGCCCTTGCCGTCTTTTCTCTTGATGGGGCTCGTCTCAGGGCTAGTCTCGAGGATACAGTAGCTGAGTAAGAGTGATGTGTATATCATCGGTAGTTCGTCTAGTAGTTGTGCCTCGTATTTCAGCGTAGCGTGGAAGAAGAAACTGCCTACCCCAACCAGGGCTACGCCGGCATAGGCGAGGACGAAGCGTCTTCCAGTCTGTTCTCTTTGAGCATTGTAGGCACCATAGAGGGATAGAGCGACAAAGGAGATGTTGGTGAGAGTGTTGCAAGGCTCAGCCATGTATGGTGTGAGGCGATACTTGTCCTCGCACCATAGCAGGGAGGAGGTAATGGGCCCCCAGTGCGAAGGCCGCGACAAGTCGTGGAAAGGTGTCCACGCCATTGAGGAGAGCGTTGTCTATGGAAGCGATGTAGAGGGGCGGGAGACACGGGACTGCAAGTTGAAATCTATCAAAGAAGGTGAAGGTGTGAGAAAGAGAGGTGGGTAGAAGAAGAGGCTATTGTGGTAGGGCGGGAAGCAGACGTCGAAGAGGAAGGACCAGGACGTAGTGGCAGCTCAGCAGCGGCGGAAAGAGGGCCAGGCAAAGTGGCTTCCGCCGGGGCTAAGGCGCCGGCCCGTGCCGTGGGAGCTGCTGGCTGAGTTTCACACGGGCAGTTGGAAATGCCCCGGGCAAGCATTGACGTATGAACCCACCCATTTCCAATACCACCCGCGCGCAACTCACACGCCCAAGGGACTGGCACTGGAGAGTCAGGTCACCGCCGCAGAGAAGAGAAGTAGGGCGATTGCATCAATGGTCGGAGAAATCACACTAGCATGATTCATGGCTGCGTTGCCAGCAGGGCGATAGTCGTGAGCCATGATATCAGAAGGCGTAAAGCATCTACAGGGCTCCATCCATTGATCTAAATCTATGATACATGTCTAGAGCATCTAAGCAATGTTGACCTGGTGCTCAGCGTGCTGCACCTCAATGGTCTCTCCAAAGACATTGATGGACCACTTCGGGCTGTAGTTCCACGGGATGTTGAACCTCTTGTGTCCTGAAGTGCGGATCCTGCTGCTGACCTTCTTGTACTGCTCCGGCGTGAGCTCAATCTGCTCAAAATTCTTCTTGATCCTGGCTGGAGTGACGCTCTTTGGGATCAAGGAGAGACCGTCCTGGATACCCCAGGCGATCAGCACCTGACCGGGCTCGGCACCGTGTTCCTTGGCCACCTCCTGCACCTCGTCGCAGTTGACCAAGTCATAGAGCTTGGCGTCGGAGTTTCCAGCAAGGTAATTGGCCGAGTTGCCCAAAGGCGAGTAGGCCGTGAGGTGGACGCCCTTGAACTTGCAGTATTCTACGAGGTCCGACTGGAACAGGAGGGCATGACGCTCAATCTGGTTGACAGCGGGCACGACGCCGGTGGCCTGCGAGATACCCTCGATGTGCGAAGGCAGGAAGTTTGATACACCAACAGACTTGACCTTGCCGGACTTTTGCAGGTCTACCATGGCCTTCCATGTCTGGGCAAGGGTAGTCTTGAGGTCGAGGTGGATGAAGTCCTTGTTCTCCGGCGAGGGCGGCATAAGCTTCTCATCCGACTCGATATCGTCGTTGGAGGGCACGAAGGGCACAGGCCAGTGGATCAGGTAGAGGTCCAAATAGTCGAGGCCGAGCTGCTTCAAGGTGTGCTCGTAAGCCTTCTCGACGAGGTGAGGCTGGTGGGCATTGTTCCACAGCTTCGAGGTGATGAAGAGGTCCTCACGCTTGGCAATACCCTGCTTGAAGACCTCGGCGAAACCAGCTCCAACTTCCTCTTGATTGCAGTAGATTCTCGCAAGGTCGAAGTGCTTGTATCCAATCTTTGCAGCTTCAATGACGGCATTCTTGACCTCTCCAGGCTTGCTGAGCCAAGTTCCCAGGCCGAGCTGGGGGATAACGTTACCGTCGTTGAGCTTAATAGTCTGCCAGGACAGATGAAGTGTTCGGTAGCTGGTGAGCGTCTGCTTAGACATCGCGAACATCTTTTCCGACAGCAAACGAATGCCACTAGAGTCTGCTTACCTTTCCGTATGACATGGCTGAATATGTGTTGTATGGAGTGATTGATATGGGAACTACCTACGCGAGTGAAGCTGGAAGAAATGTCATTCGTACTGAAATGCTATGTGGAGGTGGATCTGTCCCGGAGCCAGAGCCCGAGCGTCACTGAAAATCGCGCGATTTGCCAGACCCAGCACGCAGAGCAGCCTCCCGCGTCGTGAGAGGCACGCATGGCAAGGCGAACGCGACGAGGACCACGCCATCAGAAGGCAGGCAGATCACAAGGCAAGAGTATCATCGCGACAGCGATGTCAGCGGTCTCAAAAGTACAAAGCACTCCATGTACCAACCTCTGCGGACACTACTATCACCCCCAGTGGCATTAGATCAGTGGGCTTCTCTTTCGTTCTATAAAGGAGGCTGTGGATCGCCGAAAGCGAGCCCCACCTTAGCACAGTGAGCCGTCTTCAACGAGTGATGCAGTCTTACGATACTAACCGCCGCTCACCAAGACGAATCGGACATGCTATGAGAATGAATCTATGTCTGGGCATTAATTACAAGGTGACTTTGATGGAACGGAAATACAAATCTGCTAAATGGCCGGCCCGGCTTCGCCGTCAGTGACAAGCTGACCGCCGTTCTGCCCATCCGTTGTGACGGTAGAGTCACCATCGTCGTCGGAGTCACCATTGTCGTCGGTAGAGTCTCCATTGTCGTCGGTAGAGTCACCATTGTCATCGGTAGAGTCGCCATTGTCATCGGAAGAATCATCACCGTCATCGGTAGAGTCGCCATTGTCATCGGAAGAATCATCACCGTCATCGGTAGAGTCGCCATTGTCATCGGAAGAATCATCACCGTCATCACCAGAGTCACCATCGTCATCACCGGTCGAGTCATCACCGGTCGAGTCATCACCGGTCGAGTCATCACCGGTCGAGTCATCGCCATCGTCGACGGAGTCGCCGTCATCACCAGTGGCGGAGGTGGCTTCAGGTTGAGCAGTGACTGTCGTCGTCTTTGCAACATGCTTAGTCCTAGTTGCGGTGCAATGCTTGATGGTCTTTGTGCGCCTGGCCACCGTCTTTGTCTTTGTCTTGGTCTTTGTCTTTGTCTTGGTCTTGGTCTTTGTCACAGTCTTCGCCTTAGGTCGCAAGTTGGGTGTGGCAGCTGAGATTACGAGGTACAAGGAAAGGGTAAGGTGATATCAGCAAAGGCCCGGCCGCCTCTGAGGCTACATCCAGTGGTTGGACTCACTCTTCACGTGGTGCCTGTGATGGGTCACAGTTTTGGTCAATGTGACTACCACTGGGCCAGGCGCCGACTCCACGACCAGTGCCTGGACAATGAGCACCGCCAAGGCTACAAAAGGCAACGTGAGCTTCATGTCTGTCAGGTATTGAAGATCGTGGGCACAACGCAGGCGGGGTGTATCTCTCGATCGGAAGAGGAGAGGCCACCGAGGAAAGAGGTGGGTAGTTAACCTTGAGGAGGTGTGGTACGGAGACGAAAGGGATGAGATCGGTAGCAGTAGGGGCTTCCTTAGATGAGCTGACCGAGGCACCAGCAGATATATAGGCCTCTGATCCTCTTTCGGTCTTGCTCAGCATCGCCAATGCAGCACCTTGCGTGCAAAGCCCTGTGACTTCGGCCCCTGACATGCTACCTGCTAATTCCGCTGGGGGAGTCTCACCGCCACTTTGAGCTGAAGAGAGCATCGCTGTGATCTCAGCCGTTCGCCGATGCGGTGGGCCTGGATTCTGGCCGGCTGCTGCCCATTTTGAGCATAGCCTGCAGAATCCACTGCGACGGTACGAGGGTCTAGTATGAATCTCTCGCCGCATTCGATCCAAGTGAGTGGCTCCCTGCAATCCTGACGGCTCCTCACATCCTCCGAAGGCTCCGAGCAGACCAGTCCAGACCGCTTCGGTGCACAGGCGGAGCGTCTCGGCTTACCTCTATCGAAGCCACCAACCTCTACGCCCGACGGCGATTTCAGTCTCCGCCATGCCCGATGTGGCGCCACGCGGGGTGCGCACCGCGGATTCTGCTCGTGGTGCCAGGCAAGGACGACGCCACATGCGCCAGATTGGGCGGCGACCTGCATGGCTCACCAAATGACCCGATCGTCGAGTACAACGGAGTCCGCGCTGCTGTCGAAGAGCCCTCGGTCAGTGTACGTCCCGTTGCCAGGCCTGGGAAAGCTCTGAATAGACTGAGGCGAGTGACAAGATGGCAAACTCTTCCGAGCTCTACTGCAATTCACACCACGCGGAAGTGATCACAATCAGACACAGAAGGGGAGCAGTTCACGGCGAAGAGTCGAATTCGGGGTATCAGCGGCGGGGGAGTGACAAGTGAGATCAACGCTCTGGACAACGAAATCAACGCTCTGGACAACGAACGCAGGCTCGCCAACGCATCCAGCATCCTCGGTGGAAAGAGGATGAATGTCTGCCAACAGGGTCTCTTGCGCGACGGTATGCTTTCTCTGGTGGACTGATAGACGCCTATCCTGAGGCGGGAGTCCCCTCATTGCCACCAGTGTTCTCACTACCAGTGTTCCCACTACCAGTGTTCCCACTACCAGTGTTAGAGCCACCATTTCCAGAGCCGGTAGGGTCACCAGAGACGGTAGTAGAGCCCCCTCCGCCGGTAGTAGTGTCACCAGAGCCGGTAGTGTCACCAGAGCCGGTAGAAGAGCCAGAGCC